GGGGTCTATCCTGAAAAAAAATATACACATGACACAACTTTTTATAAATGTGTAGGAGGATATATTTTTCTCCCATAACAAGAGAAAAACATACCTCTAAAATTAAATAGAAATTTTTTCATCTAAGGACAACTAAAATAAATATCATCTAGAAAAATCGAAAATATATTTTTACTTAGTAAAAAAATATCATGTACGAAGCCATAAAAAATAGGGGTGGACATGCGTTAAATTTAACTGAATTTTTTGAAGAATTGAAACCAACCCGGTTCAAAGAACCAAACTTTTTTTTTATCCCAAACCAGATTATTTCGATTCAAAATCAATTTCGCTTCGGTTCGGAACCAATTCGAGTCGAACTTATTCTGAACTATAGTTGATTTTGAAATAGAAAATAATAAATAAACAAACAAATAAGAAAAGAGAAGTAGAGAGGGAAAAAGTAAAACAAATGAAAAGAAGAGAAAAAAAGTGCTCAATTCAAGAATTAGTTTTAAAAATTAGTTTTTTTAAGTATAGTGTTTATTTTATGGGTTTTTTGCACACTTTTAAAACTGATTTTTGAACTAATTCTAAATCGAAATGAAAAATATGAAAATATTAAGAGAAAAAATATATAAAAGATAATACAAATTTGAAAAAAAAAAGTAATGAATAATTAAAAAAATAAAATAAAGTAAAAATAAGAGAAAAATATATATAAGAGAAAAAAGAAAAAGAAAAACTAAAGAGAAGAAAAAAAAAACCAATTCGATTCATGATTTTTTAAACCAATTCAGTTCATGCATTAGTTTTTAAAATCTATTTTTATTTTTATTTTCTTAAAATGCAGTGCAATTCAGTTTATAGTTAACTTCAATTTTTTGGTTATTTTATACACCCTTACCCCTAATAAAGAGGATTAGCGTGCTTGGAGAGCCAACCCACTTGCTTTCTAGAGTAACTCTCTTGAAGCATCTCTAACCCAATCATACAATTATGTATATTTGAATTTGATCTAACACCACCTCGAAATTCTGGATTAATTTAATTTATCAGGTTGGTCACAGAATATTAAAAAGAAACAAATGCAATGCACGTCCATTGGATTGGCTTTAAATTATAATAAGTGATATAAATTTTTTCCCTGCCCTCTCCTCCCAACGGGGCTAAAGGTATATAGGCAGTTGGGGTTTCATCTTGTCTAGTACTCAACACAACCTAGGTTATGAAATTAAGCACAATGAAAAGAATCACTGTGATGCAATAATAATTGTTGGGCATCGTCCATATAATCAGCTATTATCCAAAAGAAGCCCCTAAACACATTTAGAAGACCTTATGGAGGGCCACATATATACTCATTATTTTAGAGCAATCATGTCACCTGTGAGCCACCGAGTGCAACAAAATTTGATTATATTATTCTCTTGTTCATGATATTCGATACCTTGAGCATGTCTAAAAGGTAGCACAAGAAGTTGGAGCTGTAGGGGACCATGACAGCACTTAGCCACTTACAAACTAGGAAAAATATAGACAACCAAAGATGCATTTACTTTGTATTTTGTTTGACAACATTTGCTTCATGAATTCAACCTTTTTTTCCTTACCAGAAACAGATATAGGAGACGTAAAATTACAAGCAGAGACTAACTAAAAAAGTTGATCTGAAACTTAAAACAAATAGATTTCCTCGACAACTGTATATTGCACTTTGAATACTGTTAATCATCATCCAATGACAACGCACATACTTAGATTTTCTTGACGGTTTTTTCAGCTTTCAAAGTAAGTGTTATGGACCTATAGAACCCATATATCTGAAGGCTTAATAAAGGACAACTACTTGATAGCAATATAATAGCACGTTAGGCCCATAGATCATTAAAGACCCAGAATATATATATTCACGTGTAAACTCTATAAATAGGAGACAAAACTTTTAGATATGACTTAATTTCTCTCTTACTATTATATTGTTACAGTACACATATAACACTCTATTGACTAACGCAATTATCAATTGTGTATAGTAATTTGTTGTCTCAATCTATCTCATTCATAAATATCTTAAAAAAAATACATAATTCTACATCAATCTACTAACTCTAGACTAAACACTTCTATCACCTACACAAAACACAAAGCATGCTGAAATTAATATGCCAGCCAAAAAGTCTATCTAGTCATTGAATGATAGAAATGACATTAAAAAAGTCAAAGCTTCAGGCAGGGACTGGACCCATCATATTTTACTTGAACAGCTAGCCTACTATTTTCAGAGTTAGGATTTTCCTATATTTATCTGTTCATCAACTGTGACTATTTACATTTGCAAGTTATACACTCTAAACAATCAAAGGTGCAGACTATGAATAAAAAATTCACTCCAGAGAGCATCTTGGCCTGAATTCCTCATATGTTAAAAATCTACAAGCTAATCAAGAAACAAAACAAGAGAAATTCTATGCCTCCTGATTTGGCTCAATTTTATGAGTATTACACCTGAAACAAGTGTGTGCCAAATTCACTTGGTTTGTGTATTATGGATTGTGCAGATAAATACCATCTCTATCTCAAAGAGACAGAAAATTTGTGTGTCCCGGACTAGTCCTGCGTGCACCAATGATATCCATAAAAGACAAAGTTAACTGAAAGTCAAGTAATAAGCCCTTGCCTGCCGGTGTATCATGTAACACACCATCATTGATTCTCATAGACAACGGCACTCTTCTTTTCCTCTACCTCTCCAATGTTTGGCTACATATATAATTTTACCCGTACAGAAAGAAATAAACTGAAGCGTAACGCTGTAAATATTGGTGTGTTTTATATATGGGTTGGAGTAAGAGAATTGAGCAGTTGGGATTAGAGCATATGTTTGATTCTCACTAGTATCATTTTGGAAGAGGTTTAAAGCTTTAATCTCAACGTCTGCCCCGAATCGAACTAGTCGCAAAACGATACACCCATTGGAATATCTCATAAAAAGAACTTTTCATGTTGTATGGGAAGAATATATTTTCTTACACATACAACAGATATATGAATTTCATTGAAAAGAGAAAATTAAAAAAAAATTAGTGAGACCTGTGTCAGAAGAATTTATTTATTTTATATAACATGATATATATATATATATATATATATATATAAATAAATGGATAATCTCATGTGGAAAAAAAAATATGACATGATAAGATGAAAAGATCACAAACATACAAATGTGAATCAACGGTTACGATTTTGTAACTATTTTTGTAATATTTTTTGTATATCATTGATCCACCTTTGTATGATTATAATTCTTTACATGACTATGTTATGTTTTTTTCACATTAGAGAATCCAGTTCCATATATATATATATATATATATATATATATATATATATATGGGGCAGGATCATCTTACACCGGTATAAGAATAAAAAGTCTTACACCAAATCTTAACCATTGATTTTGTGCATCTAACGGTTAAGATTTATTAGATTCCACTCATTAATAAATTTTTATTTCCCAATAAATCTCAACCATTAGATGCACGGAAATCAACGGTTAAGATTTGGTGTAAAATTTATTATTCTTACACCGGTGTAAGTTGATCCTATCCCTATATATATATATATATATGGGATAGGATATTGTGACATACAAATAATGTTACGCACAATGTTACGACCACATCTTAACCGTTGATTTCCGTCAATCAACGGTTATCATTTATTGTGAATTAATAATTAATTAATGAGTTTGATTTGAAAAATGATAACCGTTGATTGGCGGAAATCAAAAGTTAAGATGTGGTCGTAACATTGTGCGTAACATTATTTGTGTGTCACAATATCCCATCCCTATATATATATATATATATGGAAAAGTTATATATACTATTTTTTTTCTTACTACCAAATCTTAACCGTTAATTTCCGTTAATCTAACAGTTATAATTTATTGGATCACACTTATTAATTAATTATTAATTTCCAATAAATTATAAACGTTAGATTTACAAAAATCAACAGTTAAGATTTACTAGTAAAAGAATTAATAAGTATAACCTATATATATATATATATATATATGGGGTTTATATTTCTGCAGCTGCTGTACGAGTAACAATCAAATATTTGTGATATATATATATATTTAAAAGCATTAAATGCAGGGAATTATTACCATACAAAGGATGAAAGCATTAAATATGGAGAATCATAACCATACACTTATCCTTGCTAGACGTAAAGCGGTGCATAAATGATTTTACATATATATATATATATATATATATATATATATATATATTATGGTTAATTGAAAAGAGAGTCTTTCCCTCGTAGCTGTCTAGCTGAGACAAAAAAGTGACCCCACACATTAACAAAGAAAGTCAATTATTTATACATTATCTCTATCTAATTTTAAAATTTAGAAAAAAATATATTTTTTAGAAAAAATTTTTTCCCTTAATCCAAAAAATTATATACGTTAAATTGACAAAAATCAACGATAATTAATTTATTAGAAAAATTTGTTAAACTTTTTAATAACAAGTATAATATTTTTTAATATATATATTTATATAAACTTTAATGTTTTTAGAGTAAATTAAGACAAATTACATTTGCTTCCAAAACAACATCGTTTTGAGTTAAAAAAATTATAAACAATAATGAAAAAAATTACTATAACTCTAAAATAAATTATAATTACAAAAATATTTTAATTTCCACCTCAAAAAGATATCGTTTTGAACTCGATGTAGATAAATTATTTACATTAACGGTAGAGAAGACGAACCCACATATATATTAACATTAAACAATATTCTATTCAAAATCAGTTTTAATATTTTATTTTATAAGAGAAAAAATATCAGCTACACATAAAAGTATGTAAACCCCATGTAAAATAGGAGAAGGAAAAACAATTTGTTAGACAAAAATTCAGGTTGAACACCGAAGACATAAACCCATACCAATTCATCTCATCAAAACAATATCGACGATAACGGCGAGATAAATTAATTCCGACATGCAAAAATAATGAACACAAAGTAGCATCATTTGTGCACGTAGTTCTTTTAGAGGCATTTACAAAAAGGGATGCCCTACAGGACATTGGCTCTGAGATATCTTTCTGTGAGAACGTCTCAAAAAGTCTTCACATCTCATACCACAAAAAACAATTTTTTTTAACTGTGAGCCTTAATAGTTCTGACGCAGAGACGGACGAGGAATTAGCTGTTAAGAGTAGAAAGCATGCTACCAGTCGCAGTTGGAATCACCACCTCCCACCCAGGCCCTTTAAGGGGAAAGGAACTGACTGGATCTTTGAAGTTTTTATCGTCATTTGAGTTATTGACAACAAGATCACTGCGATCCAAAAGCTTCTCCAGGTCTTCATCACTGATATCTGTTTGTAACGTTTTATCTTCGGCTGTTTCTTCATCTCGAAGCAATGCTAAAACATCCTCTTCCTTAAATCAAATCACGCACAAATTCCAGATTAAAACATAAGGCTACACTACAAACAACCAAATCCTAATAAAAACAATTATGCCAATGCCGGATTGATTTTGTATCGCCCTATTCACTTAATATTTCTAGTATATTTGTAATGAACCAACTCTCTCAAAGGTTTAAGGTGTTGGGTGAAGTCAAATTAATGGCTGTAAATATATGCCCTCCTACACACAGCCTTTTGTATTTAAAAGTTGGACAATGCAAAATTTCAACTACCTTTACTGAAATCCACTTTTGATTAGAAGAATAAAAATGACAACGATCATACTCTAAACCATTTTATCATAGAGCCTTTTTTAACACCCTATCATGAATCAACACTCACAAAAGCTATTGGACGCAGGCACACAATTTTATATTACATTTATAACAATATTTTAGAGTTCGGCCACTCCATGACAATGATCAGGCAACCAAATCCTCCATAAAGTCTTATTTGCAGTTTGAGGTGTACAAAATCAATCATTTAAACAATCTGCATGTTCTCTAGTCGGGTCAATCCAAAACAGTTATGCTCGATCTCTTAAAAAAAAAATTTTGGTTATTTAGACAAGTTATACTGACTTGACAACCAAAACCAAATTTTCAACATCATTGGTAATTTGGCATGGTTGACCAGGCTGACAACAAAACCATTTCTCATTTTACTCATGCACTATATGGGATAGCAGCGAAAAAAGTAAAAATATCGGTAGAAAGCAACTGCTAATATAGAAACCTCCATTTCATCCGTGTTGACAGGCTTCGAACGTTCTTGATGAAACTGTCCTTTCTCAATCACCACATGCTCAAGTTTCAACTTACTGAAAGCTCTTTTCAACATACGACCCTGTTAACAGACTTTGTTATATCCATTTCAATATAACAAGCCACCAATTATGCACTACAAATTGAGCCCAATATACAATATTGCCAATGCCAAATACCTCTACAGATAGAGCAGTTGAGAGCCTGTAAACATGAACAGGCTTTGTTTGACCTATCCTATGACATCTATCCATGGCCTGTAAATCCATCTGAGGATTCTGGAGTACAGGGAAATGAGTTCATAAGCAGATTATACTTCAAATAAGTTAACACTATAAAGCAAATAGATAAAATGCCAATTGAGGAAAAAGTCAAAAGGTACCCAGTCACTGTCATATAGAATGCAAGTGTCAGCTGCAGTAAGGTTGATTCCCAATCCACCAGCCCTAGTAGAAAGAAGAAAGATTCTGCAATTGCTGTTTACATCATTGAAGTCCTGGATCTGTTCATGCACAGAAGAGTTACAAACGAACTACGCTTAAATTCAGCCTCTTCAATCCGTGATTAGTGATTAAGATCAACATACTCAAATAGAACAGCTGATGATATTAGTAGAAGTGTATTGCAACGAATGTCAAAATGGACAGACAAAAATCCATGTTTTAAACAGACATGAAGCTTCTTAATCAGAGGTGGTCTATAAATATTATGCAAAGTGTAATTGGCACTTGGCAGGGTTAGAGTTCTCCAACCAATGGCCACTAATGCTTCAGTTAATAATGGAATAATTGATGCATATAATGCACGCACACACACACACACACAACAAAAACTGGTATTTATATATTAAAGATATCACGAAGCAAAAACCTATAAAAATCTCCTCTTGGCTACTTAGATGTCATATAACATAGAATCTAAATATTGAAGATCATTAAAAGTTACGCAATATCAAATATTCAAAACTTCAAATAAAATACATTAAAAAAATCATAAAAGTAATTTGAATTTCTGATCAAGTTATTCATGCATTGGCACAAACCTGTCGTCTCCTATCATCCAGTTTCACACTACCATCAATCCTGCAAACTTCAAAGCCCTTTTCACTAAAATAATAATCCATTATATCTAACACTTTAGTCCACTGACTGAAGATCAGAACCTGATAGCAATTAGCAAAATGCAAGTGTACATGAGAACCAGCTTGCAACAAAAATAAAATAAAAAGAGTGGAAAGACATAAACACAGCACTGTAAAGCATACTTTGTGATTCCGTGCAAATAACTGTTCCAACAATCGGTCAAGCAAACGAAATTTTCCACATTGTTCAATTATCTCATTTAGAGGAGGATATTCATCTATCAAGAAAGCAAAAGAAAGCTTGGTTAAGAATCATAGACCATGAAATCAGGAAAACCATTCAATTACAAGGTGCTTACATGAACCATCATAGATTGAATCTACAAGGTCAGGATGGTTGCAGACCTTCCTAAGTTGAATAACCAAATTATTGAGCTTCCTTGTAGCATGTCCTGCAGCAAGGTAGTACAATACACATCTGTATTGATATAATTCCTTAGACAGAAACCCACATAACTTAGGGTCTAGATATATGAGTTGTAAAAACACTTCCCTTGTTTTCATAGGAAACTGGAAACAAATCTTACCAATTGCCAACTTTTCTTTTAAATATTTCCCCATCGTCTCATTAACTAAATGATCCTGCAAATTCTTCTGATGCTCAGTCATGTTTGCGTAGATAATGATCTCTTTTTTCCGTGGCAACATCAGCTCAACATCAGACTTCATCCTACGCAGAAGGAAAGGTCGAAGAATACCATGAAGCTTGGCTACTACCTGCATGTGATATGGTCATTTAGCCTTCCATTTCATATATACAATGGACAAGTAGTATACAAGCAATCTTAGAGTGCATACTTGGGCCCTTCTTTTCTCTTCCATTTCTTCTTTGGTTGCCCCATTACTGCACTTGCCTGACAGATTAAACCTACAAAGAAATTTAATTGGATGAAAGAAATTAAAACAAACGCACACATAGTGTTTCCCTTTTGCAAAAACCAAAACCAATATTGTCAAATGGCTTTGAAACAACAATTGATCACGTAGAGAAGAGCAGCATAAAAAAGTCAAAAGCAACAACTGGGTTTGAAAGATAAACAGACATTGCATATGGCAAATAGATACAGGGGGGGGGGAAGGGTGGGGGCAGGGAGCACCAGAAGATCCAATAGACTTAGAAGAGAGCATCAAAATTAAAGAATCGTCTAATAAAGTTTGCGAACTACTTTTTTTTTCCCAGTAAATTCACTAATTAACTATTAAAAAATAAAATCAAACAGGCCAAGGTTTATTGAAATGTTTTAGAATTGGCCCATATTGCTTCCCTTCAATTGGGGGAAGAGTTTGGAGAGTGAATACTAAAAAGAATAAGAGAAGCCATCAAGATAGTAAGGGAAGTTAGGAAAACAGTAAGTCAATTAGGATGACAATTACGCAGTTAGGCAAATAAATAGCAGAAAATTTTATAGGAGGGACATCTTTGGGGAACACTTTGTAGCCTAGTACATTGCTCAGTTGAAAAAGGGGACTACCCTAAGAAGAGATCACTCTCCTTGTCTCTGAGATACTGCAATAACAGAGAAGTCCTTTCTCTTCTCTCTTTCTCTCTGCCTTCTCTATATCTTTAGGCACTTAGATTCCCTAATGTCCGATCATTCACTATGCTGTTTTATGTTACCAAACAAAAAACTAGAAAATATAATTTAAAAACATGTCATACATTTTAGGGCATTAGATTTTCAACAGCCTCGACTCAGTTGACGTATCACCAGATGACCGAAGGTAAGAAAAAAAAACATGATCTGAAATAACCTATAAGCAAAGGATACTAACCATGACTCAAATTCTTCAAGCGATGCAAAAATATCAGGTAAAATGAAGTTTAACAGCGACCATAGCTCCGCCAAGTTATTCTGTAGAGGAGTCCCAGTTAGAAGAAGCTTATTTTCTACAGTTATGCATTTCAACATCTTCACTAATTTGCATTTTGAGTTTTTGAGCCTGTGTCCCTTCAAAGATAAACATAAAAAATAAAAAAGTCTAATTAGAACAACAGAAGCATACAGACTTTTTAAAATGGAAAACCTTCTATACATTCAAATAAGTGAATTTAGTGAATTTATTTACCTCATCAACAACAAGATATTTCCAATGGTATGCCCTGAAACATTTCCTAGCATCATTTAAAGCAACCTCATAAGAAGTTATTACTATGGGAAATTCTGGTCCAATCGTTCTAGGCATGTGTTTCCTTCGGATTTCATCTCTCTGTTTCTTGTCACCGTGGTAGATAATAGCAGGGAGTGATGGTGCAAACCTATATACATATATTCATCAAATAATCAGAATGCAGAAGCATGCCATACCAAAATTCTTAAACATAACATGTTCTGATTTACCTAGAAATCTCATTCACCCAATTCGAGAGGGTAGATAGAGGAGCAATTATCATGTATGGCCCGTCCAGACCTTTCGCTTTCAGATGTGAGAGAAACCCAATCGTTTGGATTGTCTTCCCAAGACCCATTTGATCAGCAAGAATTCCATTCAATCCATTTTGCCACAAGGAAATCAACCACTTTACACCCTTTAGTTGATAAGACTTCAATTTTCCACCCGTCAGTAAAGGCATAAGCTCCTTCTGCTCTTTCTCAACTCTATCTTCCTCACTCATGTCAATATCTTCAGTCCTCTCACTTTCTTTAGATCTTGTAAGCATGACAGCAACAGCCCTTTTGGCCTTCCTCTAAAGTAATTTCAAACATGATGTCATACTATAGATTAAAATAAGTCAAACTAGATGCAATCATTACAAATTAATATAAAATAATAAGAAAAATAAAATGTGCATGCTTAAAACCTTGCTGGGAAAGGAAGAAGAGAGGGAAAGGATGGAGTTACTGTAGTTAACTTAAAAGTTAAAACCAATAGTTAAACAAGAACTGGCCAATTTGCTCTTGTACACAAATAGATAAGAATTATCATGTCTCAAATTATACATCTCTCACTAATAAAAAAAAGATTAAAAGTAAAAAAAAAAAAGCTGAAAAAATGTCATCAATTTTGCATCTCCTATTTAAGTATAATATGATGCACAGGGACCTGCCAGGTAAAGTGAAAATAATAAAGATGCGCCAGAGCACAATGTACTCACAGTATTATACTGTGAGGCCGTTTTTCTTTTGAAGCCACGGCCCTTCTTTGCAGCTGGCTTGCTCTCTTCCACACCCTCATTCTCTTGTTCACCCCCAGTCTAGCAATAAAAATTCAATCAAGTAAGAACGATGCAACAAGAACTATAAACTTACGTGCATAAAAAGTTGACACAAAATAAGAGCACAAGGGGTTTTAAAAAAATACAAGTGTGATGTCATCCATCTTCTCCAGCAGAAACTCGGAGTATAGTTTAGTTTGCGTTAAAAGCTCATCCAATTTGTTAAACTGAGTGTCATTGAGGTTTGGTGCCTCCTCACACTGCGCCTCATCTTCCTGGATCCTAGCTTTGAGCAACTTCACTTCCTCCTTTGCCATTGTACTTGGTAGAAGCGAGGACCCATCATCTTCAATATCTGCAAGCACCTCTTCCTCCAACTTAACTTCCCCTTTCTCACCGCAAGCATCCTTTCCATTTGGGATTATCAAGAATAAAAAAGAGAATAACAGACATCAAAAGCAATTTCCTCCAAAAAAAAGAAACAAAAGACAAAAAAAGCCCCTATCAGCAGAACAAAAACACAGCAAGTTTTACTACAACTTTGTACACCAAACGATGAGAACACTACCTAGGATAAACACGCGATTCCTTAAAATAAACCCTTCATTTTAAAGCTTACATTATTACATAATGCGCGTCAGAGATACTAAAATAGATAATCTGAACAAAGCATAAAGCGATTACTGTTTAAAAAAAGTGTGAAGTGAAGAAATAAGAACAGAACATACCTCTTCTTCAAGGACAGAAGTCGGAGACTCTGCTGCAGGATCGTCGTTCTTCATTTGGTCCTTCGCTTCCATTTCGAACCCTAAATGCAGAGCACAATCACCAAACCAAAAAGGACAAAGAAAAAAAAAACACGGAAAGCAACAGAGCTAGGGTTGCGATATACCATACCTGGAAGGAAAAAGAGTGAAGGAAGGAAGGGGCAAAATGGAGAAAAGGGAAATTTGAATAGTTGAGTTCAGAGAACCAGGGAAGATGAAAGGACCGCGAAAAATAATGTGAGTGGAGGTGTGGATGGAGCAACAACAAAACAAATTAAAAGTAGAGCCGAATTTTATTTAATTTTCTTAATTTTTTTAATTTTTTGTTTGATTTTCCTATCGGGGCATTCTCTTGGGCGGGAAAGTTTAGTTGAAAAATTGCCCCTGGTTTCTGTTTTATTTACTTCCAAAACCCGCTTGTTGACGTGGGTTTGAACGGTAGGGTAGGGTCGTTTATTGAAATTGACTCAGACGGTAGTACTCTGGTGTGGTCAGTGCGGTGCAGCTAAGCTGCCTGCTAACCAGTGGTGTGGGTTCCCAGAATAGTTGGAATGAAATCACGCGTGCGCGTGTGGGTAGCCAAATTTTGGTTCGTTTGGTTCAACTTATAATAATATTTTACTAACTCTTTTTTTTGTTGGTAATCTTTAAATAAAAGTACGGCGACTTTTTATTATTTAAAATTATTTTGATAGTATTCACTTTAAGGTTATATGCTTATATATTATTAAATAAAATTTAAATTTGATAAACCTTTTAGCATAGCACATTTTACTTTATCAATAAATAAATAAAAAGTATCATCTAGGAAGCATTTGGTACAGGAGAAATTTTTTTTAACTAGGTAAATATAAGTAGTGGGGAAATGGTTGTAAACTAAAATTAGTGGGGAAATTTAAAAAAAGTTGTTTGGTAGAACAAAATATTAGCAGGAAAATTGATTTAAATTTTCGAATTCCATGTTTAGTTGAAGATAAAATATAGATGAGAAAATGGGTTGAAATTACAAAATTAATCCTTTTTATTTTTTGAATCTGATAAACCCTTGCCCAAAATGAGAGTTTGTAAAATTCAACTTAATTGATGTCATTGTTTCAACAATTTTTACTTTGCTTGAACCCAAAATAGGTACTCAATTTTTAATTCACCACCAAACCCCCAAAATACAACCCTCAAAATGATTTCATGTAACAGTGCAAAACAAGAAATTTTGCAAAGAAATCAAGTTGGCTGGGAAAGGATTTTGCTATGCATAATTTTTGTAACTCTTGTACCAAATTTGTGCAAATTGAAAACCCATTTTAAGTTGCCTAGGTATCCTTGCCAAAATCCCCTACCAAACACCCCCATATTGGTAATTTGTTATCTATATTTATATTATATTTTCATTATTATAAAGGAGATATTTCCATCAAAATAATTCTATCATCAATATTATTTACATGCAAAAATAATTAACGACATCATTATTATAGCTTTATTTTTAAAAAAATGTAGTCAAAATAAATTTATTAGTATTATTTATTTGTTAATATTTATTAAAAGTAAGCAGACAAAAGAAACAATTCTGGAAACTTACGGACTGTGGCGAAGTCAAATTTCTTTAGATTTTAGTACGTTTATTATAAAAGAAACAATTTATGTTTTGAAAAAAATATTTGAAAAAAGTGATTTAAAAAATAATATTGTATGACAAAAGAGATAGTTTTATGGTATACTTTTTTTTAAGGTTTTTTATGGTTGTTTTTTAAAACATTTAAAAAAATACAACTGCATTTTTTTATTTTTAAATTATTTAAATTAAAATAGATTTTATCTAAAAAAAATATAGACAATTAGACCCTCGTGTTTTCATTAGTTTATTTTTTTAAAAATTTTGTTTTTAACCACTTCTCAAAAGAATTTTCTTATAAAAAATATTAATTTCCCTAAAAAGTTCAAAAAAAATTCGCCACAACAATTGTAAACCCAACATATAGAAAACTGCGAGAATCAGGTTTTATTGTTCAAAATCAAATTAAAGGATGTTAAAATAAAAAAAATGAGTACGTAATCAACTGGCAGCTCACATTGTGCTTCTAGCTTAATCAATTTTTGAATTAAGAGGGTTTTGCTTCATGTATAATAATAAAAACTATTGTTTTCCAAAAAAATAAAAAAAATTGAATATCACGGATTCAATATTTTTTTCAAATTTTCATGACATTAAAGTTGTTAGATAATGTAACGATTACATACGTGCCACGTGGCGTTTTCTTAATAGCCACTAAAGCGTGAGAAATCTGTGTGTCCAAAATCACTACATGGTGGCACCTTCTTTTGGCCAAGTGACAACTTTTCTATATTTATTTTTTTATTAAAGTAGCTACTTTGGACACATCACCAAAGCAGCTAGATAGCTACTTTGGCTACTTTTGTTGTTGTTGCTATTTTTAATTTGTCAATTCTATTATATTGATTGTATTTTTACGAGTTAATTTAGACTTAAGTTATATTTGATATATATTTTAATAAAATTTTAATTTTTTTACATTATAATCAAATTATATAGTTAAAAAATCAAATTAAAATTTAGTCAAAATCAATATAGATTTAATCATATTTACTTTTTAAATTAAACTTATGAAATAATATTATCAAAAACCAATTAAATTATACCGATCTTAGACTTGGCCAAAGTCTCATGTAGCTACTTTGGGCAAAAGAAGGTGCCACATGTTGAAACCAACCCAAAATAGTTACACTATGTAGTGATTTTGGGCAGGCTTCAGTGGCCACTGAAAATGCATCACGTGGTGTGTATATAGTCGCTATATTACCTAGTGACTTCAGTGCTGTGACAATTTAAAAAAAATATTTTATCCGTTGTATTCAGATATTTTTTATTTCTAAACGTGACAGTACGGTCAATGTCCATGCTCAAATTAGATTAATCAAGTAATTAGTGAACTAGTGAATTTTTTTAAAAATATTGATAATAAATAACTAAATAAATGATTCGACTCAATTCTAAGAGGCTATCAAACAGGATTTTCCTGCTACTTTACCATATGATTGTCATAAATCTCACCAGAAAGGCCATACGAGCCCAAGTCTCCAGAACAGCAAAATAAGCCCAATTCCAATACTCTGCCTACTTCACATATAAGGCCCACCAATCATGAAAGAAATTATTGTCGTAGAGTTTGTTAGAAAAAACAGATTGTAACCACTTTAAGTTAGTTAGTTAGGTGAACAAATTTAGCTGGATATATGCATGGGTATTGAATGTAATGATATTCATTCGAGTAACGAGAAGTATGATTTTCTCTTCACTTCCTCTCAAAAATTTGATGTTACTGTTGCACCAAAGATTCAGTACATCTCATCAATAGAAATATTACATGTCAACTTTTCTCTGCCAATTTTTTTTTTCTCTCCTATGATGTGTAATGCTCTCATTGATATGATGTACTGAATCTTGGTAGAAGAGTATCACTAAAGATTTATTCCTTTATCTCCTCTTTCTCTTTTCTCTCATTCTCTAGAATAAACAGAGACTAACATTGAATTTGAACTTGTAAACAAAAGCACAAACTTATTGTTGGTGTCACAATCACAACTCACACTCACACGCTTCTGGTTAAAGTATGGATTTTGATTTCAAAAAAAAAAAGAGAGTATGGATTTGAATATCGCCCACATCCCATGGTACAGAACATTAATCAGATCCATTTATTAACAATTAAAAAAAAGTGGAGATTTTACAATTTCAATGAGGCTCGGAACATTGGCGAAGGCTGTCTATAAGTTTTATTTTCTCAGATCAAGAATTCAACTGAAATAAATTAAACTTAATGCAGGAATTTATTATAATTGAAGACTTAATAGTATTTTCCCTTACTTGAATTCGTAGAGGCTGAGAATGTTAAAGGGCATTGACAATTTGTCAATACTTGTAAAGGAATTTCTCACATTAGTGTTCTATATTTACATATACATATTAATTTCTAAAAATATCATTTTCAAATATAAATTAATTCTTATAAATCAGTTTATTGGATACACAAACTTCGGTGGACCATGTCTTCACTTTCATCAATGTATAAACCCATAAATCTGCAAGTGAAAAAAAATTAATTTATGGCCCATGATCTGTCAGACGATGCCTAAATTATCAAACCTAGTGCTTAGTTTTAGTGGTTCACGACTCCTTCCGATTTGTCTTTAATGAACTCAAACATCAATATTGAGATGACAGAGAATATGATGCAGCCAGCCATTACAGAATAGAAAATCAAGGAAAATAAGGTATAATATAAACCACAATCTCTTCTTTGCTTGAATGAAAATGGACAACTAGATGATCATATCACCAGTTTGAACAATATTATTCTCCGAAGTTATACAGGCAAAATACACCTAAGATTGATTGCAAAGATTTTCAAACCCCATATACTCTTGATTTTCCATCTTCTCAATCATGTTCTCTATTCCCACCCCACCTGTGATACATAAAAGAGGAAATAAGCATATTTGAAAGAAAGGAAATGATGAAACAGAAAGCTATGTATTCCAATTAAAATCACATAAAGTACCTAAACTGATTGCGCTTATGAAAATGGTCAATGCTAGAATGAAGATGATAATGGATGCTCGGCCAAGGATTGCAATTATCTTTCTCACCACATGTTGGCCAACGAAGGCAGCTATGGTTGAAACCAAAACCAAGTAAGCAGCTGCAGCAAAGAGTAAAAAAAAAATTTCAATAACCAATTACCATCAAGTTTCACAACTGTTTGATGTTACATTAGCAACAAATAAACTAAAAAATCCCATGTCTAATGCAACAAACGCTGTTTATTGTTAGTGGGAGGCTTTGATTTCAATCCTCACCTCCACTAGAGAAATTCAAACAGCAAAATAAAAGAATGGCAATGTACATCAGCTTTTATATGAGTTTCTTTTGCCTTTCTAGAAACTTGCTAGTATATTCTGGATTGGTTCTAGTTTTCTTTGTTGTAACTTACCATAGGGTACTGGGAAGCGATCTAAAAGGTAATATTGGACCACTGACATGGAGGATGAAAAAACCATGGCAAAAGTTGATGTAGCACTTGCTACCTGAAACAAAGAACACATTTGTCAAAGCAATATTTTTCTGGTCAGATTAAATACACAAGAATGGTGTAGAATACCTGAGGAGGAATTCCCAGTTCTAGAAACAGTGGGCCCAAAATGAAGCCACCTCCTAGACCAAGCAGTCCACCAACCATACCAGCTATCATTCCACAGGAACAGTAGAGGAAAATCTGATGAATCTTCCAATTTGTTTTTTCCTTTCCCCTTGATGCAATCACTCTATTTCCTTTGAATAAGCCTATGGCTTCAAAAAGGGCAACAGAGATCGCAATAGGAACCTTGAATTGTCAAATCAAATTTCATTTAGTCCTTGGCATGACATGGTTTTATGTTTATTGCATCAAAGTTGCGCTTTTCAAAACTATTGCATTGCTTGGTAGTTGATACTAGTGCTCCTAAGTAGGATGAGTATTTATGCATGCTATAGATTACTATTTTTTGTTTCCAACTTTCCATTAGCATTGAGCAGTAAGTGCCTAGTATTTTGTCCTGTTTCAGGTACTTTCTTCAGGCAAATTGTTTTGGTCATGAATTTTCACAGCCACAGCTCCACTACCAATTTTGAGTTGTTTTTTGTTTTGTTAACTTAGCAAACTGGTGTCAGAATTCATACAAGTAGAATTCATTGCTGAAACCCATGTCACATTTAGTAGTATCCAAATATATATTAGAAGTTACTTTACCTGCAAAAAATTAAGAACCCAGTACTGGATGGAGCAAGTCTTGCTGTATGTCTGCATAGAAATACATACAAGTGTATTCACTAAACATATGAAAACTTGATATAGGCTAAAGTGGTGTCAATTTATTGGAAGGATTGACTTCATTGACCACAAGTTCAAAGAATAAGAGCTTCTCAAATAAGTTACTTCTTGTATGAATGGGTCTAGTAACAGCACCTTTCCCTTGCTTTAGATTGAAAACCCACATTTAAAATCCCACATACTGTATGTGTGTGATTAAGGAATCAGAAAATCAAACCAAACATAATAGTTTAATTACCTTAGCAATCTGAATAATTAGAAAACCCACCCAGACATACACAAGGAGTGATAATTCTTTCCAATAAATGTTCTTTAGTAAAGTGGCCTGCATGCAAATGCGATAAATTTTATCAGTGGATAAAGCTAGATAAATTATTAACAAACTTCCCAAGTGGAATGATTTGAAAAACCCTTGGGATTACCTTCTCATCTGGTGGATCAGCTGGACCACTTGGTAGTGACTTGTAGTCTTCTGCAGAAGCATCTGCAATAAAGGGTTAGAACAACACTGTTCCAACAGTAAATAATGAAGAGATTTTCTACTACTTACTAATGCAATTAGGAAATAAGCTGCACCTAATTTTGGCTAAACTATTGTTAAAAATGTAAATACGAGTGATAAGTAATTATGAACGGACTAAGTAAAAAATATTTAAGTAAAACGACTATGAACTAAGCTTTAAGTTTTTGGGTTAAACATAACATTAATGCTAAATATTGTGTTAATTAATAGGAAGTTGTAACCAGCACCTATACATTAATTATGATCTCTTTAATTGGGGGAAATGATTTCAGCAATTTCTGTTATTTGTTCTGCCAGATAATGGAAGGCCTTTCTTAAATGCCTTTAGTTGCACAGAATCACAAAGGGGGAAATAAATTTGTTCATGAATTCTTATCTCTGATAAAATCTTGTTATTGGAATCCTTTCCTATCTATTTTCTATGGTTTCTTTAATTTGCTTCTTGTTATTTTCAGCTTTTGAAATAATGTCCTATATAGTTACGGGTTTCTCTTAATATTATAAACAAGGTTATAGGGACTTACCACCGGGTTTTGGTTCTACTTCCAAAAGCTTGGCTGCTTCCTGAAAGTAAGGTAGCATAGTACATTAGTGCTCTTACCACCAAGTTCAAAGAGTGAGACTTAACTCCAAAATTTTAGGAAGCGTATAAAGCTAAACTTACCTTTTTCATTATTGTTTCCTTTTTCCATGTATCTATGCCTTTGAATAAAGCTTTTGTTGATGTACCTACCACCCATTATTTCCAAGTTAACAACCAAGAAAATTTAAAAATAAGGCATTAAGGATATTCCAGTGAGTAAATAATGTGGGTGTTAATATTAGCTTATTTTAGCTTTTGGTTGCAGCTTTATGAGAAAGCTCTAAAAAAAGCAATATCACCTGGGTATGAAGTCCTCACAAATACAATAATTAATATTGGAGAAGGTTATATTTATAAATTTTCCGTGTACAAATTCTTACAAACTACATTAAGTATCGGTCATATTTCAATCAAGAGTGTATGACCGGTCATACGTAGTATAATTTATAAACGGATCCTTTCCCCGTATAATTATTACCTATGAATAGGACAATAAGCAAAACAGTGACCATCCAATCAGCAAACATGACATTGCATGCAACACCAATGCTAATTCCGAGCATTAGCATAGGCTGGAAAAGCAAAGCAAGGTCATAATCTATAAGCGGCATGTCTAGTGTTGGGTGTCTAAGCCTCAGATTGTAATATACAGTTGATAAAGCTGCCCCCGTAATCATACCTGCCATTATCAAATCAAAGCTATGATATGAAGAATCCACAAACTGATGATTGTTGCAATAAACTAAGCTTGAGTGCATGCACCTTATGTCAATATTTTTTATTTAAATAAAATATATTATCAATGAAACATACACAAATTAAATAAATGTTATTCAAATGATTTTTCGTTATAACTTCAAAGGAAAAAATTAAAAGATAATAACATTTACAAATAAGTAACAATATAGTTCATAATGGATATTATATTAAATAATAAAATGTGTATTTAGTTTTATTTTATTACATTTAATGAACTCTTGATTGCTATATATTTAATTTTTAAAAGATTATATAAACATTAAAATTTAATAATTGAAAATATGAAAATTCAATAAAGATATAATGAGAGATATAAAAATTTAATAAAATAAAAATTAATAAAATAATTAATTAAAATGTGAATTTTTTAAAAAAAAAATGTCATGCAAAATTCTAATGGAATTTTTTTTATATTACATATAAATTATAAGAAACACTCTACCAAAAAAAAAATTATAAGAAAACATCCATGTTTTTAGGGTCACTTTGTCATCTCTTTAAAAAATGGAGGTGAAGTTTTCGTAAAGGAATTTATTCCTGAATTTGTATGAGAAGTCCAAGATTTTTTCTATCCGAATTTTAAGGGGACTTGTTAAAATACATAAATAGGTTTAACATAATACCTAAATTATCTTTGGCTTTTCAACTAATAGACTAGTCTTTTAAGTTGAATTTTTTTATACTTTAGTCGATCGTAATAATTGGTGTGTTTTCATTAAAGTCGAACATGACTTTTTATAGGATGTATTAAGGTGCAATAACTTTCAGGAAAAATGATTCTTTTCAAATGAATTTATTTTGAAGTGAACAAGTAACTATTCTATATTGTTTTAATTTCAATAAGGTTAGATTACCATACAGTTTAAGTTAAATTAATAATAAATATAATTTTGCTTTCATTATACACAACCTTACTTTCAAAAATTAGTTCTGTTCCCCTATGAGGGAGCAATCCCACCTTTCAACAAATGAGAGAGTGTTCAAGTTCTCCCACACAGTTGATTAGTCTTAATTGGCTCTTAAAGATAGGGAGTAATTGATCCTCTCATTGTTATTTAGCATGAATATACCATGTGAGAGGATTCTAACCATTTTTATGAGCAAATCAACGGTAATGAGAATGAGGGAGAAAAAAATATTAGAATAGAGATAACAATATCATCACCATTGATTTATTTATTAATTATTAGAATACCCTTATATGAAATTGTCATGTTAACTAACACACGATAGAATTCACTCCAATAACATTTAATGCACGAGCATATATGATTAATTGACTCTTCATGCAAACCAGCAAAGTAAAAGAAAAACTTACATGCAACCACGTATCCTTGGTTCAAACCATTTGTACTTTTTGAGTGAGGAAGTCATGACAATGATTTAACTATGCAAGAATAAACAGAATAGATCAAGCTATACTAACACTTAGAAATGGCTGTAGAAGATTTGGGGTCAAAGCCAATGATCAAAGCGAGCATAGGGACAAAAATTCCTCCACCTCCCACCCCTCCAACACTGCCCAATGCTGCTCCCAAAAATCCAACTATTGATCCTGTTATAATTCTCCACCCAAACTTCATCTCCTGCTCAACCGGCCAATACAATGCATTTCATATAGTAAAAAGGCAACATCATAAAAGAAATAACCAAAATACATAATCAAAGTGCTATGCTATATATAATAAGATGCTGCAAAGAGTTACTTATAATATATAAATGTATTTGGTGAACTCACAGGCCAAACAGGTTCATAGGAAGACTTTCCACTCTGCCATAAGAAATCAATCATCACTCTTAGAACTCCTCTTCTTTCTTTCTCAACAAAATTTCCTAATTCTTTTTCTTTTGAAACTCTGTATGCTAAACTGACATTGCAGATCATAGTAAGGATAAACAAGGCCATCCATGCTGCTGTTGCTGCAGCAATCGAAGAAGTCATATGTTTCACTTCTGTAGCCATGTATGGAAGGTGAGAAGCCAGAGATAGGAATCTAGAATAAAGAATATTAGGACCAATATATGCTGTATACAAACCCTCATTTTTTTTTTTCTTTTTGGTTTTTTGTTTTTTTGTTTTTTCTCTGCTTCTACAAGTATGGCTAAGGAAGGAAATTATGAAAATTGAGGAGTGCCTTCTCGGTACCACCATTTAGCGTTGGCTTATTCTCACTAATTAACAAAAAGACTACATACAAGAACCTAATGCATTGAGGATATATCTAGCGTCAAGAATAAGCCAACGATTCACGAGGAAACTTCATGGAAGAAGCATTAATGTTATGTTTGGATCGTAATCCAATTATTTATGTTAGAGAATAATATAAACTATTAAAAAGATCATCTTCCAATAATATAAGCCTTTGATTGAGACTACATCTCAGCCTACCTTTAACAGTTTATATAGACCAATAACTTTAACAGTTTAGATTGTTTAGGAATGGTGGGACTTAGAAAAGGAACTCAAAGTCCCCTTCATATATCTGGAGACTAATTATTCGTTCCACCAGCTGTTGACGGTTTGCAATGAAGCAGGAGCAAGGAAAAAACCTCAAACAATAAACTACATTTTAACTCATTAATTTATTTTTTATTTTCTTATGTAAAGGCTACTTTGATATCTTGAAAATTATAATCATGTGGGTCCTCCTAATTTTGATTAAAATATCTAAGATAATATATAGAATATATTTATCACTTAGTGGTAACCACTCTACTATTTTATGTACCATATAGGAAATAACCGTATGTACTCCTCTAAGAGACTAAAACTTTCAAAACTTACAAGCATACAATAATGGGATTGCTTTTTCTTATGTCATTGGAGACAAGACTATCTCCTATAGAGACATCTTCAAGTGAGTCCTACACTATAACAAAAAGAAAAAAAAAGAAAAATTGATGGCTCAAATTTCGAAAGGTCTATGGCATGAGGTAAGCTCTCTCCAATGACATAAGAAAAACATTACCCTACAATAATATATTGAAGCAATGTAACCTGGCTGTCCTCGCTAACGAATGTCATAGCAGAGCTATGAAGCTTCATGGTAACTACATTTGTTTTTGGCTTCTCAGGATCTCATTGCTTCATGGTAACGAATGTCATAGCAGAGCTATGAAGCAATATATTAAAGTTTGTAATGCCGCTCGTACTTTTTTTTCCCCCTCTCTTTTTTGGATGCTCATGAATCTTTCTGCAGTGGTATTAATATTTTTTATAATAGTTTCCAAAATTAAGTCTTGCAAAAATTCGTTAACCAAACTGCAAGACACAATAACTGAGGTCAAATTCATGTAGCATTTACTTTTGACTGGATTTTAGCTCGGAAACACTATCCAAAGATCGAACTGAAATAGCCTAGCAATACCTACGTCACATTTACTGCTCGCACATTGTTAAAAATTCAAATATAAAATTATTTATGTGTTTTTATCCAATCGCTTAAACTTTTAAGAGCGTTAGTTGCTTGTATAACTCTCTCGTCATGTGATCCATAATTCAATCATTGCCAACCCATTATTCTTATTATAAAAATATTATGAAATTTTTTAATACAGGTAAGTAAGCATATGCATTACTCATCCTTAAATCCAATAAATTATTGTGCGAAAGAACGTGTTAGAAATATAAATATAAAAATTATTCATATGCTCCACCTAATAGGAGTTGGTTGCTTGGCACATGTAATGATGGAAATGAAATTGCTAGAGTTGTAAATAAATCAAAATCACCCAGAAAAACAAATCAAACACATTTATAACAAAATATTGCGCGTATTTAACTGCCTGTAGTTTTTCAGAAGTTTTACATGCTACTATTACAGGGGGAAAATGTGGGACAGTGACCAAAATGCCACGTTTTGGCAAAAAAAATACCAGAATACCACGGGAATAGTAAAATTTTCCAAACTGCCACGCGGCATAATTCGCTACACAGTGTAGCGAATTATGTATGCAAGTAATTCGCTACACAGTGTAGGGAAATATGCCACACGTCAGAACCAAAAAGTACCATGTGTCAGAATTGTTGAAATTCGCTACACTTTTTGGGTGCCAAAAAGTGCCTTGTAGCGAATTTCAACAATTCTGACACATGACACTTTTTGGTTCTGACGTGGCATATTTCCCTACACTGTGTAGCGAATTACTTGCATACATAATTCGCTACACTGAGTAGCGAATTATGCCGCGTGGCAGTTTGGGAAATTTTACTGTTCGCGTGGCATTCTGGTAATTCTTTTGCCAAAACGTGGCAAAATGGTCACTGTCCCGAAAAATGTTAAGCTAATCGAGCTCACACAAAAGCTACATAGCTTTAGGGTCTGTTTGGTGTGACGTATAAAACATGATAGTATAAGCTTATACTATACGTTATGACAATTTCAGTTATTTGGTGTGACCATTGTATAGTATAAACTTATACAGCATAATCTCTTAATACATCAAAATGATGTATAACTTAATCCGGCCTAAGGGTGAGGGATAAGGCCTGACAAGAGATTGATGTATTAACATCGTTGACCAATATAATTCTCAAAAATTAATATATTATTTTAATCAATTAAAATAAAAATTAATTTTTCAATATATTAATTTTTAAAATATTGAATATTATATTTTGGACATACTGATCAATAAATTTTTATAAAAATTAATTTCATATGACATTTTTTGAAGAATTATATTTATTAAAAATATTTATTTTTATCATATATAGTATTATACAGTGCATTACCAAATACTAGATGATATTATCTTATACAATATATTATTTTATACAATACCGTGCCAAACGCTGGATAGTATTAAAATTCAATCAGACCTTATACTATCAGGTCTTATATTATCAGGACTTATCCTATACTACGCACCAAACATGCCCTAAGTTTGGTGTGATGTATTAGGGTTGATAGTATAAGCTTATATTATACGTTATGACATTTTCAGTTGTTTGGTGTGACCATCGTATAGTATAAGTTTATACAGCAGAATCCCTTAAAACATCAAAATGATGTATAACTTAATCAGGCCTAAGGAGATGGATTAGACCTGATAAGGGGTTGATGTATTAATATTGCTTACATGTACACTTCTCAAGAACTAATATATCATTTCAATATTAATATATTAAATATTTTTTTAATATATTAATTTTTAAAATATCGGAGGATATTATCTTATACAATACCATATCAAACGCTGGATAGTATTAAAATGTAATCAGGTCTTATACAATAAAGTTTTATACTATCAGGCTTTATCATATACTACACACCAAACATGCCGTTAAAGTTGTTGTGTTTACTTCTTAAGAAAGTAGATTATTATATTAAAGTAGCCTTACAAGCATTAAAATCATTTTCCAAAACCACAAAAAAAAAAAATCATTTTTGGAACAAAAGTGTATTTACACGTCAAAATTCTTATATTATTTTTACACTTTATTTACATGAAAAAATAAAAATAAAGAAAAGATGTCAAAATTAAATGTTATTCTTCTTTAATCATTAAAATACAAAAAAATTAACTTAAATATGATGTAAGAAAAAAGTGTATTTACACGTCAAAATTGTTATATTATTTTTACACTTTATTTACATGAAAAAATAAAAAATAAAGAAAAGATGTCAAAATTTAATGTTATTCTCCTTTAATCATTAAAATACAAAAAATTAACTTAAATATGATGTAAAAAAATTTATTTGCAAATAACATTATTGTTCTTAATAGTGTGAAAGATTTTAATGTTAAATCATTGAATTTTTTTTGAATAATAAAGTGGAGTAATCTGGAGAAGCATCCCAAGCCTCCGTATACCTCCGAAACAAATTTTTCGTATTGTAAATAGGCATGGCATTTCAAAAAATTTAACCACTCCAGCTCAGAGTACCTCTTCAATTTTTCTTTTGAATATTCAAAAATCAGGAAAAAAAATTCTTTCACGGAGCATTCTAATTCGCTTTTTATACTACTACTCCAAAGCAACTTGACTTACGAATATAACCTAAATATTTTCAGGCAATGTAGCTACAGGTGGATCTTCAACCGTTTCATTCAGTTAGGTAATCGAACTGTCATCCACCGAGAGTATGAGAGCTATGAAGCTTCCTGGTAGTTTGATTTGTTTTTATGCTTCTTTCTGGATGCTTCATTCACTGACAAACAGAATAAAAAAATAATTTGCAGTAGAAGATTTTGTTTGTTTAGATGATCATAATTTTTCGCAAATATTCCCCGAAACAGCAAGAAGCAATATACAACATCTTTTGATTTATGTAGCATTTGCTTCCAAAACTCGAGTGAAATCAAAGTAGCTAATTATTAGTACAGCAACTCCAGAATCACTTTTGATTGGATTTTCAGCATGAAGCCGTATCAAACGATCAACCTCAAATAGCTGTGAAAGTTCTGTCACATAATTAAAAACTCCGTGCATAATTAAAAATAAACCAACGAATTGTTAACCAATACAGAGCTAGATGAAAACGGTCAAATAATGCTGGAAGCTCTGTACTGTAAACATAAGCTCCAAGCATATCAACAGACCAAAGATAACCTGGAACCTATATATTGTTTCCCAGAAAAACATACAATGTTTTAAGAAAATAAAAACCCAAAATAAACACCAATATTATCTATCCAAAGTCCATGTTGAAAAACAGGAAACAACTCTAAAGATGCAGTATTTAAGCTTTCAAATATGGACCATATGGGTAGCAGCAGCTACAAAGTTCTTTTTGTTCTGCTTTGATCACACCATGCACGAATCCATTTGATAACTACTAATAAGAAAAAAATCCTGGAGTGAATAGCAAGATTCACAAGCAATCATACTCAAATAATGACTCTTACCAATAAAGTCGAGAAATACCATGCCCAAAGACCTAGTAATCATACTCCTTGGAATGAGATCTCTCTGAGTGACGATATTCATGGTCCATATCACGATTTCTCTCCTTTTCAGTACGTGATTCAGATGTTGCATGTCTTGAGTGGTTGCCATCTTCCATCCTATCATGGTCAGGATATTGATTGTAATGATCACCATGGTCATCTCCATGATCATACTGCCCTCGTCCTCCATGATGCTCATAGCGGTCATCCTGCTCAGAGTCATGATCAGGGCCTGTACGCCTATGTACTTGCTCAGATTGGTTATTACAACCACGATCATCCTCAGGCTCATAGTCACGATCCCTCTCACCAAGCAGGTCCCTCTTATGTTTCGATTCAACACGATCAAAACCAGACTCCCTATCACGTGAGCGTCCTCGATCAGTATCCCCAACTTCATAATCTCTATCCCTTTCATGGTGTCGATCATGTTCTCGACCCTTATCACGGTCCCTCTCTCGCTCACGGTCACGATCCCGATCACGTGCTCTATCTCGATCTCGATCACGTCCACGATCTCTATCTCTTACCTTTTCCCTATCTCTGTCCCTAGTCCTATCTCGGTCTCTGTGGTGTCTATCCTCCTTATAATCACGATCCTTGACCCTTTCATGAGAATGTTCACGTGATTGCTCACGTTCTCTATCTCTGTCCCTACCTCTTTCACGTGATATTTCTCTGTCCCTAAATGATCTCAGTCAACAATAATCAAAGTGAATGGCTTACAAAACATTGGATGAAAGAACATTGTTTCAAAGTCCTCAATTATATGACCAGCAGTTAATGCAGGGAAAAAATTGAAACCTCCCGATTATGAAAGAAATAGTTGTATGACCAGCAGTCAACGTCGATGACAACCAGACAAAATTGAAACATAAACATAACATAAAAATATCTTATTTCTTACCGATCACCATGTCGATCCTCCCGCACCTTTGGTTCTTCAGAACGAGACTGCTGTTGCTCCCTGGAAAACAAAATTATGTCAGAATTTCCCTACAGAAAGAACAGACAAAGCATGCCATGAGATATCTACAGATGACATTCAACAACAACTGTTTTTTTTTGTTAGTGGGGGGGGGGGGGGGGGGTTGGTTTGCAAACTTGGGTGATGATAACCATCAGTGGGTGGTGTGTTGAGCAAGCCAAATCAATCGTCAACAAAAAAAGTAACTTTTAGTTATTCTAGTTCAGGTTATATGAAAAATCTCCGGTGGTAGAAATTCAACAGTAAATGAAGATCATTAAAAAGATTGCAATTAGACCAATCACCTCCCAGAATGCCGCTGATTAACTTCTTCACCTCCAACTCTAGTAGTACCAAGCCCACCACCGAGCCGGCGAGGTCTCCAATTTGGAACGGTCCTCCCACGCTCAACATCCACAAGCACCCTTCTACCATCAATTTTCCTACCATCAGCTTGTTTATAAGCAGCTGCGTAATGAACAAAAAATGTGTGAACAAAAAGCCAGAGTAATAATAGACAAATCAGTTAACAACCATCAACCTTTCATGTCTCTTGTATGCAGATACTCAATGAAAGCATACCCCCGGGGCTTGTTTGTTGCTTTGTCAGTAACTAATCGAACCTAAATCATAAGAAATTGGTAAATGAAAGAATAGTCAGAACAGAACATTCTGGTCTTCAATGAGAAAAAATACAATAAAAGGCACTCCCACACTTCAGAATTAATAATACTACCAAATGAAAAGACTAATGGTGTATTCCTGAATGGCACGGCAGACAGGCACTATGCCTAATTAGCCGTGCTCACCTTTAAATGACACAGCTCCCATCTTGAGATGCATCACCACCAGCAATAGTTGCAGAAAAACTGATGTATTTGGGGCCAATTAACCAGTTGTTGACTAGTGTCCCCTTACCAGGGATATTTATTTTTAAAATGATAAAAACAAAACTACAGAAAATACCATGACATCTCCTCAATTGCTGATTTGTTTCTGATAGATTGCCTAGCCTTTAGAGCCAAAAATCAAATTTAGCAACATCAAAAGCATGCCAACTAAAAATTTAAACAGAAGAGGAAGAGATTGCAATACCCCCAACATATTTTACCCAGTGCAGAAAAGAACAGAAGTTGTCAGTCTCCTTTTCTTGCGCAAAAACAAAGGCCAAAAGGCAAGATTTTCATCACTTCTCTGCTCAACTAAAATATTCAGCTAATCACGCAGGAGGAAGCACTTGAATTTGAGTCGGGATTGGTTAGGATTTTAGAATAATTTACCATTTGCAGAATAAGATGATCACACCCTTACCGGGGATGTATTCTCAGATGATAAACTTACAGCTAACATAATCCCTAGAGATACCCAAGCTCTGAGAAGACCCCTTAATGACATAGATTAACAGAGGAACTAAGTGGAAACTAATAAAAGAAACAAATAAATAAAAAGCCATTTGAAGGAAATTGGAGGTTCCACTAAATGCAGTTGTTACCTATGAAGCACCGACACTTTAAAAATCTTGACGTGTCGTGTCGACACTTCCCGACACTCAAATACTCGTTGCAAAGACTCAAAAAAAGGTTCAAAGGTTACGTTGCGTTACATTTTGAGTTTCAACTATTAGATTCGTTAGATGACGATTACGATTTTATTGAGTTTAATATAAACATTTGGGATATATTATGTTTCTTTGAAAAATTGATGGGTATTATAAGTTTAACTTTATTTTTTTGTTAAATTATTGATACTAAATATAATATACACTACATAAATTAAAAATATTATATAATATCAAAACGTGTCCTAACGTGTCGACATTTAACATTTTTTAGAATTAACGTGTCGGAGTGTCGTGTCGTATCTCGTGTCCCATGTCGGTGTCGGTGCAACATAGGTTGTTACCATTTTAAAATCGCTAACCTTCACCAATGACAAAGTAAACCAGGAAGATGCAAAATTTATATCCTTGAATCATTGGACAGAACAGGATAAAAGTTATGCATGACAGATTAGCTTGGTTTAAAAAAAATATCATAGACAAAGAAAAATAAAAGCTTGCATTTTGTTGTTCATGACGCAATACATATATGTATGTATCAAGAAAATAGTTGAGATTGAAAAAAATACATATTTTGAAGATCGATAAATCATGACAAGTCAAATTTTTGAAAAGTAAATTACATGAAACTAAGAACATAACATGTGTAAAACTCTTACCAAACTCCCTTGGAGATATTTAAAAATACCTACCCGTTTGATTGCACCATATGATTCAAACTCCCTTTTGACTCTGCTCTCAGAAGTCTCATAACTCTGTTAGAAGATAGCACCAACAAGATATAACAAACTATAAGTATATGCTACTAAATTGCCACACTAATACAACATTGGAAAATACAGCTTACGAGTCTGGCCGCAAACAATGTCTTGTATGGATCTCCGGATATATTTGGGTCATTAGGTGGATCATCTAAAAAAAAGCAGATATAAGAACAGCATCCAAAGAACATAAATCCACAAATATTAGCAAATTCACAACAATATAGGACCCATCACATTTCTCTAGCTCCTCAGCAGCCTTTGCTGCTCCCTTCTCTAATCTTAGCTTGTGTATTCTGGCTCTTTTTTGTGCCTGAGTTCACCAACATGAATCAAAACCATATAAATATCATAAAACTAAAGTTTTAGCTAGTGTACTAATCTAAAATGATGTTTCGGAGCACAACCACAGAAGTCAGGAATTGGTACCATACTAAAAATCATGAAGGCAAAGAATATAAAAAAAAAATTGTTTGCAAAGCCATACAGCATGAAAAACCTTGACTATATATCATAACCAATGAATTGATGAAATTTACTCACACCACAGATATGAATGCAGGGTTCACTATCAATATTTGTTACAGAAAAAAACTGAAAATTACAGGAGTTTCGGCCTCTTGGACAGGTGGAGCATATTCGGGATCGCCAGGCTCGGCAAACCTAGTTACATATTGTGCCATACCTTGAAAAGGAAGAAAACAAAGTGATATCAATAAGAGCACAAAACAAACGCCAAATGCGAAACGCAACAGAAGCATTTAAAAACACACCGGTTAATGGTGGACATTTCCTTTTCTCTGGATGTGGTTTATACTCCAACGGAGGCCTGGGCTCAAAGAGCTTCAAGAGGTTCGATGTGAGACCAGTTGGGTGACTCTGTCCAATCTGCATTATCGAAATAAAATAAAAGCAAATTGACAAATCAATCAACAATAAATCGAAATCTCGTTCACCAAAAAAAATAAAAAATAAAAATGGAAATCTCAAGACACTTTGCGATAAACCCTAGCTATGGCCGAGGACAAAAATTATTCTCCAGAAAAAAAAAAAAAAATTAATGCAAGTGATTCGAAGCGAAAAAGATTGATGAATGGAAATGGACCAGCTTAAGCTGAAGGACGTTGGCGCGATTCTGGGCTTTGGTACGGGCCTGGACGGCGGCGTTTTGGTTGCGCATGAAGGCATCGTTGTTGTTGAAATCACCCATGGCTACAAAGGAATCGGAATCAGAGAATGGGAGGGAATGGATTGCGTCTAAAACAACGACTTAACCAGATCCGATTTGTGCCCCTTAGCCGTCAGGTAGTAGCAAGCGTTCGCGGCACCTTTCTTTCTTCGTAACCGTTTTGTTCTCTTTAAAAAGAAGTAAAAGTTGAGTGAAACATGTTTTTATAAAATTTCTTTTTTAAGAAAACAAATAAAAAAAGAAAGAAGGTGAAGTAGTTTTTTTTTTTTTTTTGTGTTTTTTTATTTAGGAGCTTTCTTTTCGTAAGCTCTAGCTTATCACTTCTGCCTTTTTTAAATAATATGCATCTTTTAAATTTTAATTGTATTATCCTAATAATAAAATAATCTTTATTACAATTGTAATTAGAAATAGAATTTATATAAGGTATTTATAGTTTGAATTTTAAAATAACTTTTGAACTAAAAAAACTATATGACCTAGTCGTTTTTAACTTTATTTTTTCCGTTCTTATTTTTAAATTAAAAAATTATGCCAAACCGGCTCGTATCAGGGTCAGGTCTAGATAACCCGGACCATATTCTTTGTGGCGTATTTAAGGACCAATTGCAGTACTTTTGAACTAAATCGTTGGCGTATTTAAGGACCAATCCTAGTGTGAGTTCGAATTATGTTAGCCAATATGAGGACTCGATGAGTGACTTATAATCTCTCTTAAATCCTTAAAGAAGTTGGAGAATTTGTTTTAATCTTGGTGAGATATTAGTATCTAACCCATCTAGACTTTTTACTGAAAAAAACAACGATTTTACCAATGCAGTGGTATATAGATTAAATGTACTTCTTCAAATAGAGGTTCTAAAAAATTATAAATAACTGCATACAACATCAAATTAATCTGTAAAGCGTCAAAACCGTTTAGATTTTCAAACCTTCAAAAAAATTCAAATTGAATACGTATAACATTAGAATATCAAACACATACTTTTGTTTGTGGAATCATATTTTTATAAAAAGATGTAACATTTATGGACTCGTACCAAATATAGTTGAGTATTGTCTGTTCCAAATTCCAAATTCCTTTGAGCTGAGAATGAAATAATATGATGTTCGCTTTGAAAAAAATGTTTCAAGAACATGAAATTTTATTACAATAAAGGCTTTATTAACATGCATAAAATATACTTTATATGTGTTGTTAGTGTAGAAAAAATTTAAATTTATATTACAATTGGATATACAAAAAAAAAAAAAAAAGTGTAGAAAAAATTTATATTATCAACCAATGATGCATTGCTATGTTATCAACACATGATCTGTCAACCTCTATAAATGATGTTACAATATATTGTTAGATGACAATATAGAAAAGTTTTTCACACTAACAATGTATTAAAATAAACTTTACATAAAATATGTGAAATATAGTCCAAATTCAAAAAAATTAAAGACATCAAACTTCACTAATAATGATAGTATACTCAAACCTCGTATACAATAATAGTATTCCAATTTTTCTCTAGAGGTGCTTTCTAATACAAAGCATTAAGCTTTTCTCAAAATCACTAAAGTTCTAACCTCTTCACCTTCACACACCACAAGTATATATTAGGGAGGGGAGAAAATTATAGAATATCAAAAGTGAGAACTAACGTTTCTTGAGCCTCACAAAAGTAATATTGGGTCTTGGGTAGCATTGAAGGAGAAAAAGCCCATATAACTATGTACTTCGAGAAATATTAAAAAAAAAATTTCTCTTCATAAACTTTTCGATGATTGTCGGCTGAAAAGTGAGATCCAACGATGCTTAGAGTGACAGTAGATTGGTAGTAGAAACTTTATAAAAATTATAACTTTCAATGCTTTTTCCCACTTTGCAAACAAATTACACAATACATGCATTGCAAGAAACTTGATCAATAATAAAAGTTATAGTTATGTCCAAGACTCCGTTGGAAAGTATGCCTATACATGCCAAAGTACACAATAACCATATTACAGAATATAAAACAATGAACAAATGAAGCACGTCACATTGAATAGCGCCACTTAAACTTGCACCTCAAAGACACCCCAAAACGAAAGCGTCATGCTCAATTCTCCAAAAAATGAGATCCGACTTCCCACACCTTCATGATATTTTTTTTTCCCCTTCCTTCATTAATTTGACGTGTGTGATCATCAATACGAGAATTGCTTAGCCTAAAGCTGGGGCTGCTGCTTCTGCCTTGGGGTCTGGCTCATATCGCCACTAGAGCTGCTGCTGGCACCAAATTCCTGGCTCGAAAACACTGCTTTTCTGAACTTTTGCAAATCAGCATTGTATTGCATTGTGTCATACTCTGAGCTCCCTGATGAAGAAGTGTGAACAGCGCTATACCCTGGCTTCATCCCATCCTTCAAATCGTCCAGTGACACATCTCCTTCCAATGCTCTTACAATCTGCACATAATATAAGGATAAGACTACGTAAAATAGAACATCACACCTATTCTTTCAGAAGTGCGAGCCTTGGGTTTGCCTATGGTATATATTATAAAGTACAAAGACCCACATCGTGTACATCTCAATTATATAATAAAGCATATGCTGTATAGTTAACACACGGATTTCAATATATGCCTCTTGTATGTTGATATTTAACAACTTTTAAAAGTTTATTTCATCGGTTCATCCTAAACTATAAAAATGTCATATTCTACATACATATTACGGGGAAAGATTCGTTTATAATTTTTTTTTACAAATTACACTAAGAGTATGACCGGTCATACACTCTTGATTGAAGTATGATCGGTCATACTTAGTGTAGTTTGTAAGAGTTTGTAAACAAAAAAATTGTAAATATAACTTTCTCCACATATCATTGAGTTATGTATTTTAAAGATTCTTACGCCATTTAATGAAAAATGAATTGGTCACTATAGAATCATAATATACCTGGCTCATTTTTGCACGCTTCTTGGCAGAGTGGCGAATGCTAGCAGCAGCGCAAGCTGCCATCCTTGTCATTTCTTGAGGATTGTAGTTTCCTTCCAAAAATGGATCCACCAACTCTCCAAAGTTGCCATCTTCCTCAAGTCCACGAGTAAGTAGTGGTCGAGCCTGCGAGGTTCGCACATTCCCAATATATAGTTTCAGTTTAATTTAAATATATATATATATATATATATATATATATATATATATTGTAGGACAAGTGATGTACTAATTGTAACTGAACATAATACTAACCCAGTCCACTAAGCTGTCGTCCATGGTATTTGTGTGATCCACGGGTCGCTTCCCAGTTACGAGTTCCAATAGCATGACTCCAAATGAAAAAACATCAGATTTCTCTGTCAATTTTCCACTTGATGCATATTCAGGGGCTAGGTACCTGTTTCAGCATACAAAGATAGTCTATCAAGTTAGGCTGTCATTTAATTTTTTCTTTTCTTTTTTTTCAAAAGCTCATCAAATTTCTAGCAGCGTTATAAACATTCTATTTAAAAGTGTATTTTGAATTGTTAATGTGACAAGATTATATTTGTATGAAGGTTAATGAAGTTAACCATAATCTATTATGAGCAAAAATCCTTTCAAATTTGACACCTTTTTTTTACTGAAGTTGCTATAGGTAATAAAAGCATGTGGTGGAAAAAAAATTACCCGAACGTTCCCATGACACGAGTTGATACATGAGTGTTATTATCAGAAGTCAACTTAGCCAATCCAAAATCAGCAACCTGATTAAAATGCATTGTTGGGGGTAATTAATTAGCTTTAGCAACATTAGAATGCTAACGCGTCCAATGACAATGAAATAGTTGAAATGGTAAATGTGTGGACAATAAACTTGAGTAAATATGTGAAACCTTTGCTTCGAAGCTATCATCAATAAGGACATTCGCAGCTTTGATATCACGATGGATTATGCGAGGATGACCTGATCAGTGCATATGTAAATGTATCAAAAATGAAGAACATAAACAGAGAAGAAAATAAATAAAAAGAGAAAGATCATAAGAAGGATGAGAATCTTACAGTCCTCATGAAGATAGGCAAGCCCTTTGGCGGATCCTATTGCAATCCGCATTCTAGTAGGCCAATCCATTGTAGGTTGACCCTTCCCTGCATGTCATCATCAAATTCATTAGCAATTTTGATCATAAGGGATGCTCACACCAAAAACGTCAGAAAAATATGCTAAGCATAAATAGTATGGGGCAAACCCGGTGCATAGGCCTTCTCTACTTGCAAGGGTAGAGACAAAGGTCAATTGTACGCAATCTTACCATAGTATTTTTACCAAGAGACTTTCTAGACTCAAACCCGTGACCTTACGGCTACTTCAAGGCTTAGGCTTAGCTTAAGCATAAATAGTACATTAAAAGGAAAACCTTGCATGAGTTCAAATAATGTATATATAGTACTTACCATGAAGGTGATGTTCTAAAGTGTCATTGGGAATAAATTCATAGACCAACATTCTCTGTCCACCAGAAATACAGTATCCAACAAGTGACACAAGATGGCGATGATGAACACGACTAATGATGTCAATCTCAGCTTGGAACTCTCGCTCTCCTTGCCCGCTACCAGATTTAAGACTCTTAACTGCCACTTCCTTTCCACTAGGCAAAACACCTTTATGAACATAACCAAAGCCACCCTGTCCTATCAGATTGGCATCAGTGAATCCGTTAGTAGCAGCTGCTAATTCCTCATAAGTGAAAGTGCCACCCTTGAGGCCTAGAGCAAGGCTTGGTGATGGAGGAGGCAGAGGGGGTGGTCCTGTTGAGTAATTGGAGCTCATGTCAGCACTGTTCATTAGTGGAGGAGGTGGTGGTGGAGCAGCCCACCCTCCACCGTTAGGACCCATTCCATTTTGTACCCTAACAACATGGTCCATCCCATTCTGATGACCACCATAATAATTGGGATGCTGCCCGCTGTTGTAGTAGTTACTCCCTGTAAACATATTTTAGAGACCATTAATTATCAACGCACTATTAGTTTGGTTCTGTCAAAGATATAAAATGAAAATTAGGAAAGAATCAAGGACAGAGAACCCAAAATTTTGAACTAATATAATATGATATTGTGTGATGAAAGTTCTGGCTCTCGTGTCTAAACAAGTCCAAGAATCAAATAGCAGTTTTTAACCCCAACTGCTTCCAAAACAATTATTCTCCACAAAATAAGCATAATGCAAAGTATAATGTGCATATAAGTATTTTTATTGTTCAATACATATAAGTATTTTTATTGTTCATTGAATATTATAGGCATTGCCTTTCTGATATGAATATACCAACACCACTAACATCGTAACCACGGGGAATTAACGTGAACATGAACCGTTAAGAGATTATTTCAGCTTAATCAACCGTCTCCACTTTAAACTTGATAAGAGTTTTGTCAATTATGTGGTCTTATACAACTCAAATAAGACTAGTCGAATAATCAAAGAATCGATGGATAATATAAAAAAAATAATCCGTAATTTACCAGTAAATAAATGAGATGGAATCATACAAGATCATATGACATGCGAAATAAGATTAATCTCATAGCTGGCTCAAAGAGTCGAAACTTATGAGGATATCGGAGGAAGCAAACTCCCTCAAAGAGATAATTAGGATTGGATAACTCCAAAAAAATATGACATTCGAAATAGATTTCCTATAGCTATGCAAAAATGGCTATGCATGGTATGTATAAAAGAGAGAAATATATGCAACACAAAAAAAAATCGGTGGGATCCACTTTTACTTTTGTCATTCTTCTCCGTTTCGCCCACTTTTTTTGTATATTGTATTGTCTCATGCAGCAAGAAACATATTTCCCAAGAAAAAAATAATAATAAGGGTTTTGGCACCTTTTCCATGGGATGGTCGATCTCCATAATAGTACATTTGCTTTCTTTTCTTTTTCCTTGAGCAAATAACGCAAACGATGACGAGAATAAGAAGAACGCTCCCTACACCAAGCACTGCTCCAACTATTGCCTTACTGCTATCATCACTGCTATCAGAATTTCGAGGGGGTGGTGGTGTGGCTGTTATTGACTTGTGCGGAGGTGGTGGTGAGGGAGGAGAACGGCCCGATACTGGGGGAGAAGGCGGCGGCTGAGAGGCCGCATTGGGTGATGGTGGGGATGGATTGTTTGGTGTAGGTGGTGGAGAAGAGGGTGGCGTTGGAGGGGGGGTTGAGGATGGCGGTGGTGGTGACTGCGAAGGTGGTGAAGGTGGTGGTGATGATGACTGTGAAGGTGGTGGTGGTGGTGGTGACGGTGATGACTGTGAAGGTGACGGTGGTGATGAAGAGCCATCAGCGTCATCAGGGGTACTGTTATCGGGTGTAGCGTTATCAGGTGTAGCGTTATCAGGGGAAGAGTTATGAGGAGACGAAGACATTATTTCTGTTTCCTAGAATTTCATAAACAGTTTCTGAGTTCCGGCCAAAAGGAGCACGCTGCCGGAAACACCGTCTCTAATTTCCCCTAGCTGCTCGCTCTTATGTGATGTCAACGGTTGGGACCCCTGAAAAGAATTAACAACATTTTTGGAGGATATAAAGAAAAAATCAAGTTAATTATTATGGTCAAAATCTCTCATCAATGCATGTATAATCAACCTACTCTAAAGTCAAAACAAGGTTACTAATCTTTTATGGTACTTTGATTCTGGGATTTAAGTCTCTATGTAGTTGTTGTTAAGAAATTGGCAAGAGAAATTTTATTTTTATTTTTTTTAATTTTTATTTTTTTTCATGAAGAAAAGATACCTGAATGGAAGAATGGCAGGGGTTCTCAACAGGAAGAAAAGGAAAACCCAATGAATGCTAAAAAGTCCATAATACAAAAAAGGAACCGTTGCTGTCCTTCCTCAATGGCCTCCTACAAAGGAGGACCTCTGTCTTTTCTCAATCGATGCCTATGTCTCTGCCACCACTTGCTTTGTTTGAGTCAGTTATAGGTTTTACCATTTTTTGACTGGTGTTCATTGGATCATCCAATGTTCGGCCATAATTTGCTTAAAGGATTATTTCTTATAACTCACAACACATATTACCTCGAAATAGCTTACCAACCGTAATACACACACACAAATCAGCTAAAAATAACAGAATTTAAACTTCTGGCTTTATTTTCAGTACGGTGGAATGTAGTAGTTTACCCAAATAACTAATTTTGTATAATTAATATTTTTCGGACAAGTAAAATCTTCATTTATTACCTCACTATTTATCATATGTTGTCTTCGTTATTAACTTCAAAAATGTTATTAATTAAAAAAATATACTCCCCGTTAAACCCCTATTAATGAGTGGGACGAGGACAATTCTGGTACACATTCTTATCCTTACATATTTACAAAGAGACTATTTCTTAAATTCAAACTCGTAACCTTTCGGTTGCAAAGAATATGCACAACAACCTCCGCACTTGCTTTACTCTAAATGGCATAGATTATATCAAGCATATAAAGATTTCAGAAGTATTATCGCTAATAATTAAAATTTGTGAAGTATATTGAGCTTAGACCCGTTGAGGAAAATCATTTTAAAGCTTATACACGAAAAATAAAAATGAGAGATGGAGTTGTGATATAACAATTACAATCAATAAATTACAATGTAATGTATATGTTTCTAAGCTTGGGATAGCTAGGTTGTGATATAACAATTAAACCAGTTCGGTTATGAACGGATTTTTATTTTCAAACCGGATTGAAATCGGTTTATATTTTACAACCGATTCATTTTTAGAATTGATTCGAATATGCATATTGGTTGTGAATTGGTTCCGAACTGGTTTCAAACAATTTAAGAATCGGTTCTGAAATGATTTTCCAAATCGGTTCTTTTGCTTCGGATTAGTTTATAAAACCAATTTGATTCTCAAAATTGGTTTAGAAAAATGCAAATCAATTTGGTTCGATTATTTTGCACTGCCCTATGTATTCTTACCTAGAGTTTGCGGGGTGTCATTCAAGTGTTCGTGCTCAATTATGTGTATGATGGTGGTGTTGATGGTGATGGTATAAATAATTGTAAGATCATTACAATGCCTAGATGAATGCAAGGTAGATAAAAATATTCGGGTTGTTGGAGGTTATGGGTTTAAAAGAAATTTTTTTATGATAACTTGAAATATTACACCAAAAGACATCAATTTTTTTTTAATATACAACAGTGTTATCTTCAGTTTAGAGAAAATTCTAGAATTAATGCAAGTTATTAGGCTCCAACCCATATGAACACGAATAATCATACTCTTAACTATTGGATTTATGTGTGAACATATTATTTAGATTATTAATATATATCCTGACATGGGTTAAAAAATATATAAATGAAATTACCAAAAAAAATTATTGAAATCACTGTCATTTATAGGGAATAAACAAGGTATCTTAGGGGGTGTTTGATATGGAGAATCTGCTGAAAATCTTGGGAAAGTCATGTAGGTAAAATATGTTTACCATGTTTGGTAAGTGTTGAAGACCAAAAAAATGGGTATAATATTGAGACTGTGAAAATTGTTTTGTACTGGACTATGGCAAAAATAAATGTCATTTGAACCATGGATGTGGGATCCATTAGGAGAGAGAGAAAAAAAAAAGAAAAATTAAATTAGCTTTATCATGGATGTGAGTGTAGGAGAGAGTTTTATTTTCCTATCACATAAGAGTATTATTTCCCTTAATTTAATCCACGAATGAAAGATACCTATTTTGCAATTTTTAAGACCAAAATGCCCTGAAAAAGGCAACTTTGGAGATACCCGTCTTGCTTTATCGTACGTTTGCTGTCTGTCATTGAATATTTTAACATAATGGGTAATTTCATAATTTCACTATGCATTTTCATCAATATTTCACCATCAACCAAACATGATATTAATAAAAAGAACCCAACTAGGATACCAAAAAAAAAAAAAAAAAAATCAACTTTCTCGAAAAAATTAACGTCTGCCAAACACTTCTTTGTAATTTACTTAGGCAAAAAAAAATTAAACCATATTCCGTGCGAATTTTTGTTACTGGCAATAAAAAATTCCTCCGCCCCCTAGATGACATCCTCAATATGGTTATAAGGTTGTAATGAGTTATCTTTATCATATGACCCAAGCTCGTAGTGATTGACTAGAACACGAGTTTTTGCAGGGTGCAATACATGTTATGCTAATGGGTTTTGCAAGGAAAGAGAAGCGAAGATAAAAAATTTAAATTTTGAATTAAAAGAGTTATATAGTAAGGTATGATTGGAAAGTTTTGTGATAATTTATCATTTTATTCTAAATTTTTTTTTGTCCTTCTTTTCCTTTCCTTCGCTCCTAATATGGTTCAATTTTTTTTAGTTCGTTTTTCGTTTTTCTTACACTCGTTTTTAGTTTTTACAGAATAAGTGAACAAATATTTATACTTTTAAAGGATATAACGTTGTGTCGTTTTAGATACTAATTGTTGATTTCCGTTAATCAACAATTATAATATATTGTGTTAAATTTATTAATTAATTAATTAATAATAAATTTGACCCAATAAATTAAATACTATTTATTCTTTACTGCAATAAAATTAAGTAAAACAAAAGTAATTTCCTTTTAGGGGGCGTTTGGTTGAGGAAATTTTTTTTAATACTAGAGAAATGTAATTGATAGGATAATAGTTGAAAAGTGAGTTTGGTAGGAAAATGTAAAAAAAGTTGTTTGGTAGGCTGAAAAATTATCGGAAAAATTGGGTTAAATTTACTGAGTCTATGTTTAGTTGAAAGTAAAATATTGATGGGGAAATGTATTAAAAATACAAAAATAACCCTTTTACTTGCTGCAGAATTGGGGCCTTCAACTTTTACTACAGGTTCAAATACTTCATTTGGTCTGAATTTCTGCATTCCACTCAACTTCAACTTCTTCGTTTATGTTCTCCTTAGTTGTTTCATCAATAACATGTTTCTCATCCTCCATAGCAACTCCATTTTCAGAAATATTATCAATTATAAAAGAAAGGCTAATTATTTTCATATACCCCCACGATCCTCCATCAATTCAAGGATATTTTAACTTAAGCTCTTATCAACGAAGATTTTCTTTCTTAGAAAACAAACGGTAATCCATCACTCTCACTACAGCATCTTCTTTTTTTTCCTCATTTTTTTTCCTTTAAACAGAGATGTCAGCAAATAACAAGAAAGTCGTGGCTAGTGGGTGACGACGAGATTCGAAAATAAAGTAAGGGTTCTTTTGGTATGACATTTTTCATTTCGCAATCAATTCAAGGATACCCACCCTCTATGTGGTATTCTTCCAAAGGGTTTTCATCCAAAAATTACACAGTCAGAGGAATTCAGGGGAAATAGCTTTCCTAGGGAAGTTTTCTCAATTGGGATACCAAACATGAGATTCATACATGCCCACCTTCACTTCCCCAGTATTCTGAAAATATACCTCTTACCAAACACCACCTTAAGAGCATGCTAATCACTCAACTATTTGCGTTTTTGTTTTTTTAAATGGTATATGTCGTTTAGAGATCATATCCTATATATATATATATATATATATATATATATATATATGAGGTAGGATCCATTGACACCGAATTTGACACCTCATCTTATAGCCGTTAGATAAAAAAAGATCAATGGTGTAACATGCTTTCAAATCAGAGTCATTGATCTTTTTTGATCTAACTGCTCTAAGATAAGGTGTCAAAGGATCTTACCTCTCTATATATATATATATATATATATATATATATATATATATATATATATATATATGGGTAAGGATCATCTTACACCAGTGTAAGTTACACTCTTGATCTTTTCCGTTGATCTCATTTATATTCAAGGACTCAAATTTTTTATTAATGTGAGCCATTGGATACAAGTGGATCATTGGTCAAGATTGAGGGTAAGACTTCTAACTCTTACACCGGTGTAGAATATCCTGCCCCTATATATATATATATATATATATATATATATATATATATATATATATATATATATATATATATATATATATATGAGGTAGGATCCTTTAACACCGGTATCAAATTTCAATTTTGACACATCTTCCGAGAGCCGTTCGAGCAAAAGATCAACGACTCTGATTTGCAAGCATGTGACACCATTGATCTAATGGCTCTCAGATGAGGTGTCAAAATTGACCTTTGACACCGGTATCAAAGGATCCTCTATATATATATATATATATATATATATATATATATATATATAGGGGCAGGATATTCTTACACCGGTGTAAGAGTTAGAAGTCTTACACTCAATCTTGAGCATTGATCCACTTGTATCTAATGGCTCAAATTACTAAAAAATTAGAGCCCTTAGATATAAGTGGGATCAACGATCAAGATTGAGAGTGTAACTTATATATATAAGTTACATATACATATAGAGGTAGGATCATTTGACACTAGTGTCAAATTTAAAATTTGACACCTCATCTGAGAGCCGTTAGATCAAAAAAGATCAATGATGTCACATGCTCACAAATCAGAGTCATTGATTTTTTTTATTCTAACGACTCTCGTAATTTGACACTTGAGTCAAAAGATCCTGCCCCATATAAAGGTAGGATCATTTGACACCTCATCTGAGAGCCGTTAGATCAAAAAAGATTAATGGTGTCACATGCTCACAAATCAGAGCCATTGATCTTTTTTAATCTAACGACTCTCAGATGAGGTGTTAAATTTCAAATTAAGGATGACATAAGCAGAGCCATATATATATTTTTCCCTTTTTTTTTATACTATCATAAGCGAATCTACCAGTAACATTAAACTTCATATAAACACACACGCATTTACTCTAATCTCGTTTATTGGACCAATCGGTGACATGCCACGAAGTGTAAAAATTAAGGATGACAAAAACAATCAATTTCTCTCTAGACTCAGAACATCTTGCACAGAAAAATGTTTACTGAAAATTATAACAAGAGGTAGTGGAAAACGATAATCCTAAGATTAATGGAAGCAACCACATCCACAAATGTAAGGATAGAATTGTAGTGGCCCACATAACCTTATCCTATTGGAAAGCAAACGTGAGGCAGAAAACCTAGCCGAAGCACTGATCGGCAGGGAGAGGACCTGGGATGTAACCCTGATCAAGGTACTGCAACCCAAAGACAACCGCAATGGCTACCAATGCCAAATACGATAGGCCTTCAACAGCACCCAACAATCCGAAAGGACCGTTGGGCAGACCGGAACCAGTTTTGGTTTTAGTGTACAATGACCAACCCACTATTCCCACGACCACGAGGTAGCTCACTCCCTCCAGTGCACCAATTGATCCACCTGGACCTGGGGGCAAGCCACACCCGGTTGTTTTCAGAGTGTACAGAGACCACGCAATCACTGGGGATGATATCAATCCTCCCGCTATGGCTGCTTTCTCTATGATGCCATTGCTTCTCTCGCTGCCTTCCTTTGCCATGCCCACTATCTTCAGTGCCATATGAGACCTGGGCCTTTTAAGTGACTGATTGTAATGGTTCATGCGTAAATTAGAGCTCCATATTGGGGACAACAGTAACATTCTTGAGGCTTCCATGGCCAGAAAACTTGCCACTGGGAGAGAGGCCGCACCGGAATGCGAGAACTATGAGTTGGTGGCTTTTGTTTTACAGTGACACTGGTAAACACGATTAAACAATTTTATCATAAGGAATCGGTCTATAGTGTATAAATACAACAAATTCACTATCAACGAAAATTTCTAACAATAATGAATAAATAAGGAATTAGTGTTTTTGATATTGCACAAAATAATTTTAATATATATATATATAGTTTGATGTTTGTCATTTTAAATGACATAAGTTTTGTCATTTTAGGAGAGAGATAGACACAGAAAAATAAAAACCATGAGAGAGAAAGTGAGTGATTTTTTTTAATTTAAAATTTAAATAAATTTTTTTGTCTGTCTCTGTCTCGCTCTTAAAAGGACAGAATGTTATGTCATTTAAAATGTCAAACATTTTTTCCATATATATATATATTGATCGGTAACATTTCTCATAATATTTTGCCTAACTTTGAAATATCTCATTAACGGAACCCCAGCGAACAAAAAAGAATTTACAGGGGCCTTCCTTTACTGCTTAATCTGAGAATTTCAATGACGACAAAAAAATATTCGCGAACCAAAAAGTACAAGATAATTAAGCAAATTCTAATTATTGGGCCATAAATTCAACATGTGTATCAACACTTAGCCAGTATTCTGTTTACATGTCCAAGGCCCAGGAGTTCCTTTAAAAAGAAATCCAAGTGGACAAAAATCATTTTTTTCGTTTGAGGAGCTGCTTGTATTCTGACATGCTGGCTCTCTAACATAGACTCTCAATTCAAGAAGCAACAGCGGGCTTGATTATTCAAATGAAGATCCTCAGCCAGGGAAAAGGACGCGCTCATGGAGCAGTTGCGTGTGCATTACGCGACTTCTTAGGCTCGTTTCCAAGATTAACGACGCCATGCTAATTCCAATTTTAATTGGTTAGGTTCCAAAGAAGAAATAATTTAATAACCCAATCCTATTGCATGGACGTCAAATGCGGATCTCGCTGTCCAATTGAAGATCAAAAACTCAATTCATGACCACGTGGCAATATGCAAATTCACCTGTATTATATGATGGAGAATGACAGTGCTCAGATACTTTGTAAAAATTAAAACATAAAAATTCCGTCAATGGTAGGATTTGTATGGATAAAAACATAGCATACCTACATAGAGGGCCCCATTGTCACATGCTTTGCAGATGACTACAACCCAAAGGACCAAGCATCATTCACTCATTGTTGTCATCAAAGCTTATAAGATAAAGCTGAAATAACTCCACGTAACATGGTCAATAATATATGACCTAGCCACGTCATTACAGCAGGTACCAAACTTTGATTGATTGGATAATTTCGAGTCTTTGGTTTTTTAATAAAAAGCCATCTACAGATGTTTTACTAGCTTTCCCGTTATCCCACTAAAAAGTGCACCGATAAACAGGTTTAAAGAAAGGAAAAAAAGGGAGGGTTTTCCCGCTCTCTTTTCTTCACTCCAGGCTCCAAAACAGTAAACCTTCACAAGCCAACCCCTGCATCGAGAACATGGGCGGTAAACCTCTTCTGATAACTGCCATTCGAATATGTAAGTAACGGCTATATATGTAAGGATAGAGGGAAAAATACACCAACGACTTTTTGAACTGAACGCATTGCCACTCAACATACAATACTTTTTCCTAATATGTCCTGTTCAGAGAGCTCAAATCCTAAAAGACTAACCATAATTTTATATATAGTGAGGTTCCGTGCTGCCAATCCTGGGAAAACATCACAAAAAAAACAAACGGATGAACAGGAGATGCATCATTAAGAGGCCTCAATCATGCTTCTTTAGATGGCTTTAGTGCATGTTACCACATCATTGTTCATCGCTATCATCGTCCCTCTTTCTCTTGAGGTGTGAAGAACTGGGAGGCAACACCTGTGCATCATCATCATCATCATCACCGTCGTCGTCATCATCATCACCACCGTCGTCATCAACTTCTTCCTCCTCACCATCATCATTTCCTCCATTCATGGATCCAACCCCAGCATTTGGTGCTTCAGACTGTCCAACAGGCTGGACAAGATATCCAGCACCATAGTCTTCTTCCTGTAATTCAAAAGGAAGAATTCCATAATTTGATTAAAAAGTTGGTAATAAATTCTGAAAGCCAAAAGGGATTAACAACAAAAAATAAAGCATACAGTTCATATTAAATTTCAAGAAATATACATAACCCAAGCATTTCTACATTTGATACAGTCCAATAAATCAAATAAGTATCACAAGAACAGACTAACAATAATTCGTTAACAGTCATTCAAAGCAAACCTGCAATTTGATATATAATAACCAAACAAAATAAAATAATAACTTAAAGATTTAGAATACAGAGAACAGAGGAACATATCAATCCATGGCAATCAACAATTGAACAAAATAATGCATTAATATAAAAAATTGTAAGTAGAGCAAAATAAAAAAGATTCCCAAAAATGTACACAACGTGATTTCACAGATTTCAAAGATTCCCAAAAATTTTGCAGGTTTGGATGAGGAACAGGGAAGCAGTCGTGGAAGAAGAATTAACATGGAATAGCTATTCTATCAATAAAACCGAGAATGTCACCAACAGTTAGGACAGTGACAAGAATTCGAATTAAATAACATTGGGCATAAAACCCAGAAAAATACTCACCACCACTGTGACTGTGGTGCTTAAAAGGGCAAGGAGAAAAGAAGTATAATTTTCAAGAACAAGAATAAACAAAACCAATCTATGATACCCCTGTAACGGAAGAAAAATCATATAATGCAATACAATCAACTAAACAGACAAAGTTTATATCCAGTTAGCAACTATCAGTCAAACACAATTTAATGACCATCAATTAGCAACCATGATTATCGCCTTCTCTTCAGCAATCTGACAACATCAACATTATAACCAAATCAAAAAATCAGAAGAATGAGATACGGAACACTAGCATAAATAACCAAACAAGCACAAGTAATTCACCATTTCATAAATAAATGTAATAACCATAAGAGAAAAAAGTTCATATGGAAGGGCCATCTCACTTCATCATCGTCTTCAAACTCTCCATCATATTCCACCCCCATCTCATCTTCGCCAGTCTCTCCATTGTCATCTTCATCACCATCTTCCTCCCCCTGCTCATGGCCATCAATCTCCCCTTCGGTGCTTGTCAATCGTCCATTACTCTCAGGTTCAGCAAACTCCCCATCATCATTGTTCACTTCCTCTTCTTCATCATCATCCTCCTCCTCATCGTCATCCTCATCATATTCAACCCCATCCTCTTCATCATCGGTGTCAACAATCTCATGAACCTCAACAACATCATCATCGTCATCATCCCCCTCCTCCTCCTCATCAATTTCCTCTCCAGAATCATTCTCCTCTTCCTCGTCCTCCTCCACATCACCCCCTACCACAGGCTGAACCCGAAACCCATTCGCCTGAGGGTTGGACCCATTGGCCCTCCTCGACGTCTCCATCTCCTCCTCATCAGCTTCACTCTCTTCTTCCTCATCAACATCAACAACCCCATCCACACCCTCGCCATGCCCGTTACTCATCACATAGGGTCGATCTTCCCCATCAACTTCCCCACTCCCAGGATCATCTTCCTCCTCTTCATCCTCCTCATCCTCATCATCGGACTCAGGCCTCTCATTCTCCTCCGCATCCATCTTATCCAAGTACTTTAGCGATTTAATCAAGCCAAAAACCCTAGATCGATAATCCTTAACACGCGTAACAGGACACTCGTACAGATCCAGCGAAACAAGCTTCAGCTGTGCAAGTGGAGCAAGATCCTCAATATATTGAATCCGGTTATTGGAGAGATCGAGGTCCCGAAGCGAATCGAGTCCCGCTTGAACGAGAAACTCGAGGCCACCGGCAATCCTATTGTCGGAGAGGATTAGCTTCTGAAGTTTACAAAGCCGAGGGAATTGCTCAAGCGATGAAACGCCGATGTTTGCAATCGACAGGTGCTCGAGGTTCTGAAACCTCTCTAGAAAGTTCGGTGGAGGTAACCGACCCTGGACGCACTTAACGGCTCCGTCTAAGGTTAGAGTACGAACCGAAGCGTCGTCCTTCTCGCCGTCAAGCGCCGTCTCCACAGCCTTCTCCCAAATCTCATCCATCAAATACCAAACCCTATATCCTTTACAAAATTACGCAACTCGCGAATTCAACCACTTTAATTAAATTATATATCAAATAAATAATAAATTGGTGTGTGTTGTCTTAGCGCCACAGAGCGAAGAGGAAATCCAAGAGTACAGCTTCGGAATTAGCATGAAACGATGCTGATTATAAGAGATTGAAGATGGTGAAGACTCGATTTAATGGTTATCTATCTGAGTGAAGGTATTGAAAACCTTAAGTTGTTTAATATGAAAATTCAAATAGTTGGGAGAGGAAACAAACACAATTGTCTTTCACTCTGTTTCTCTCTTTTATATTTCTCTCTCTAACGTCTATTGGGCAGAGAAGAGTTGGGATAAACCTCTCGGGCTTGCGGTCCGGTGCTCTAGGGTTCAGGGGTGGGCTCGACTGCGTTGTTCTTCTTTCTAATTGGGGGACTTTTATGTGCCGTTGGATTCGGAGCGACACGGATCAATGACGTGGGTGAAACGGATGGCTGAGATTGGAGGTTTCTGTGTTTGTTTTCGAGAAGGGTGTAGAATGACCTAAAGCGTGGATCAGGCTCCCCATGTACGACACGTCACTCGTTATGTAAATATCGGGGATGGCCAGATAATTGCCACTCTGGATGAATAGTTTTACATAAATGCCACCCTTGTGTAGTATTAAATGCGAAGAGTGCACTGCCTGACGAGGTGTACCGTAGGCGCCAAAAACCATTATTTAACTCAAAGAATTGGTCGAACTTGGAAGTTCAAAAAATTACAATTTTTTTTTAAATAATTCTAAAAGTTTCAAAATAAGTATTTTTTTAAAAGTGATAATTATTTTTAAATTTTTAAATATCAATTAATTTAAGCATTTGGGTACAATTCAATCAAATGATAAAAAATATTTTTAAACTCTAATTATATATATAAATAAATAATTAAGTTACCTATCCAAATAACTCACAACTTGCATAAATTATGCTGGTGTAGTAATTTAATAACTTAAATTATACTCGATCCTATCTAGTTCAAAACGCATTTAACTGAAAACAAATTAACCTAAATAGGGTTGTATGACTCAAATTGATACCCCAAACATTTAATTTAACCTATATGGGGTTGTATGACTCAAATTGACACCCAGACATTTAATTTAACCAACGCCTTCTTCTTCTTCTTTTACGTTTTTAGGCAACTCAAGAGATTACTTGATCAATAACTAAGGCTGGCACAAAATTAATTGCGTAACATCTACCTCCTTGAAAATAGAACAAGATATTTTTAGAATAAGGTTTATGTTGTATTTTAGGTTTGTTCGTAATTTATTATACTTGTATCGTTAATGGACTTGGGGGCATGAATCTACAATATAGGTGCCCGCTTCAAAACTAAAACAATTTTTGAATTAGAAACAAAACGATATGACTCGACAAAATTAATCCATAACGTTACAATATTTTAAAATTGATACATTCTTATTTGAAAATATATTTTTTAGTTAGTATTGGTATCTTATATTTTAGAATTGTATAATTTCACAACGCATAATAATAATTTTTATTTAAATTTGTAGTTAGCTTAATCCTCACCTAGTCATAAATAGGTCGTGATTAGATCTAAAATTTGACCAAATCGTAATTTTAAGCTACATTAAATAAAGTTAAATTTTACTAGACTCAACTTGACCACAAGCTTTCCTAAATCACCACTTTGCCCCAACAAGGTAATGTGAAATTCTAAATCTTATAACATCATTCACTAAGAGGGGGAGAGTAAATTGGTAACCTAGTCCCTTAAATTATTCTCTATTTTTAGTTTAGTTATAAAATTAAATTATATGTACGAGTTAGTTTTTAAATTTAAAGTCTAACTTATGAGATGAATTTTATTTTGAGAATGCGTTAAAATGTTCATGTGAGTCATGTGACAATAATCAAACAGGTAAGGTGAAAATGAGTTTTTGTGTTTAAGTTTTTTTCCATAAACTGTTTTGAAAACAATAATCAAACAGGTAAGGTTCGAATTTAAAATTTCTTAACTACGTCGAACTCCTTTTTGTGCAATTATCTACGAGTTTTGTTACCACTTTATTAAATTATTTCTTTGATAATGTTCTGCAATAAAAATCAAGGCTTTAATATTTCTATAATGAATGTAGATAAGTTATTTATATTTATTTTTAAAATAACGTTGTTTTGAGTTAAAAAAAATTAAAAAATTATAAGGAGAAAATTTACTATATCCTGAAATAAATTATAATTAAAAAAATACTTTGATTTCTGTTCCAAAATGACGTCATTTTATGGTCAATATAGATAACTTGTCTCTATTGACCACAGAAAAATGATCCCTAAAAACCAAATTTTTTTAAGGAGTTAGAATAAAAAGTATTTGCAAGGTGAAACATAATTTTCGCGGAAAATAAACACTATGTTTAAAAAAAAAGTAAATATCATATTCGGTCCTCAACAAATTTCACGATGCCCTATTTAGCCCCTAGCAAAAAAAAAAGGCCTTTCGTAGTCCTTAATTTTTTCAAATTAGGCCCACGTTAGTCCTTCTGTTAGTTGAGCTATGACGGCGTCACTAACATTTCTCACGTGTACCGTTAATTGGCTGACTCACGAGGAAGAAATTCACCTGGATAAAAAACGACATCGTTTAGGTACCTTTTAATCTTTTTTTTTTTTTTTCCTTTCTTTCTTCTTCTTCTCTCCAATATAAAGCCCCACCACCACCCCCTATTCAATTACAGTTCACCACCACCACCATCTCCTGTAATGAACACCACCTCACTCGTACTTCTTCCACCCATTTCCTCCTTTCTGATCCAAAACATTAGTATGCAATCTATCAATATGGTCACTGCAAGAATATGGTGTGAATCATAATACATTAGTATGCAAGTTGTTGACGATGAAGACGTAGAAATGGTAATCAAAGAATTTTTCAACGAGTCAAGGAAAGATTTTTTAGAGTTATACGTGGATATTGCCGAAGCAGAGGATGTTGTTTTACCCATGAGGTCAGTTGATTTCAATTTTGCACATAATGCATCATCATCTGCTGCTTCAGTTGTTAATTCGTTTGTCGAAGTTGAAAATGACCCTACCTGGGTTATGGAAGATGATGGTGATGATGACAATGATGAAAATATTGCAATGGAAGATCAACTTCTTGCTGAGGATGCTAGCGCTTCAGACAACGATGATGAATGTGGTATTCCCGAAACTCAAATCCTAGAATATAATGTTGTGGGGGAGTCTCATGTCCAGGAACATCATGACGTCGCGTCCACTCAGTTACCGCAAATTTCAGAAGGTATGTCCGTAAACAATGAAAATATACGTTTATATTCGCAGCTTTTTGTAAATTTGTTTAATTTTGTACATGCAGGTGACGAAGTTGTTCCATTTTGGAAAGAAATTTCACAGTACACATACATTGATTGGGATCATCCTAGGGAACAAGATTCTTATAACGAGGGTTCAAGTTCAGGCTCAGGCTCAGGTTCAATTAATGGTCCATGGATGATAGGTAATAAGTTGTATGTTAAGCAAGATTTTGAATCAAAAAAAGAGGCGCAGATGGCAATCAAGAGAAACCTAATGAAAGAGCATCAAGAAGCGCTCGTCCTTGAGAGCACGCCTACCAAATTAAGTATGAAATGTTGTGCGTATGAACAGGGTTGCCCGTGGAGGGTTAGGGTAATAAAACCGACGTACGGTGAAAATGGAAGGTTACTAAATGGGGTGGAGACTACAATTGCTTGAATGATCATATTTCTTAGGGTCATAGACAGCTTGATGCTGATGTGATTGCTTCACTCGTACTAGGTATGTTATTTGAATATTTTGTCATTCTTTTGTGTTTTATAGTTAGGTGAATAAGGTTTAATGCCTACCTACAATATGATTGTTAAGAATGATAAAAGAGGAGCCATCAGTCTCAATTTCACTTGTTCATGAGAGGATCACCCATGCATATGGTTTCAAAGTTTCATATAGAAAGACATGGTATGCAAAACAGAAAGCAATTGCGATCATGTATGATGATTGGGAGGAGTTTTATGCATTTTTGCCTAGGTGGTGTGAATATATGCTTCGCTTTTCTCCAGTTCTGTTTATAATATTCAAAAAGATGATTATTTTGTTGCTCATCGACTGGTACGTGAAAAACATGTGTTTCATTGCATTTTTTTGGACTTATAGACAATGTTGCGAAGCTTTCAATTTTTGCAAACCAGTAATTCAAATTGATGGCACTCATTTATATTGTAAGTATAAAGGGAAATTATTGATTGCCACAGCTCAGGATGAAAATGCTGAATGTTAACCACTAGCATTTGCAATTGTTGAAGGCGAGACTTTGGAAGCATATGAGTACTTCCTTGATAACATTTGTCGTCATGTCACACAAAAGCAAAACATGTCTCATTTCAGATCGGCATCAAAGCATATTATCTGCTGTGGAGAATCATCGTGGTTGGCAGCCACCACATGCCCATTATGTGTTTTTCCTTCGCCATATTGCAAGTAATTTTAATCAAAAGTTCAGGAACGAAAAATTGAAGAAGACGGTTATGAATTTGGGTATGAGTTACATCTTGATTACGTCTCATTTGACAGTTTTACTGAATATAAAAATAATTAATTGTCATTATTTTTTCAGGTTATTATGAGAGCTTAACATCCCCGTACGGCTGCTCTGAATCGACGGGGGTGTGACCAAGCACCTCCTGGCACAGGGCCCGCTAGTTCGTAGATGTAACACCCGTAACCACTCTCCCATCAGTCGGCAAACCCAATATAGCCGCAAAATCCTGCAACGTAATGGTCATCTCGCCCTGGGTCATGTGGAAGGTATGTGTCTCTGGTCTCCACCTCTCCACCAGAGCACTGATCAGCATGGGATCAATCTAAAATAAATACAGACAAACTATCAAAATAAACGATACTATAAAGAACACTAAGTTTTTCACATTTATTATTAAATTAAAAGTCTCATCACTGGTACTTTCTGATATGCGTACTTGAATATGTCGCATGCATGCGACATGTAGGAAGCCATCCTGCTGCAGGTAGTCTGCCACAATGTCGGGAATAGCATCAGGAGATGGCCCCTTGCATCTTACCGCGTCTAGTCTTGCACTGACGACACTTCTCCTCATTCCACACAACCTGTGAAACATGTGTGCGCTGCGTGCGCCTCCTAAGTACATCACACCTGTATGGTCCTGGAAGCACGTGTGTCCTGGGTTCCGAAGGCTCGACCTGAGCCTCAGTATCGGATGTAGACCGAGGTGACTCGGACGATGACGAGTCAGCCATAATAGTGTACTATACACAATAACAAATTAATTGGTTTCATTAATATATTCAAAAGTCATTACGTTAATTACATGTTTTACAAAAAATATTAAATTACATGTGTTGCAAAATATATTAAATTACACGTGTTACAAAAAATATTAAATTACATGTGTACAATATTCCTAGGTCACTAATATATTTTTAAGTCACTAATATATTCCTAGGGTTTAAGACACTACTTTAACATATTCCTATATCAGTATAATAACAGTTATATGCGCAAGAACCTAAATTACTATTATAACATGTATAATATTATATTTAAAATTTTGATAAAGCAGATGTGAAGACTTACTTGTTCGACAGGGCTTCGCCGCGCAAAATTCTCCACAAATAATTTAGAGAGAAGTCAGACCAACTTAAGAGAGAAGGTAGAGAGAAGGTGTGAGGAAGAAAAATGAAAATTTGGGGGTTTTTATAGGCCAGGGCATTCACGCCTGTCCTGGGCATGAATTGTCACGCCTAATTTGGGCATGAATCATTCACGTCTCAATTGAGCGTGAATTGTCCAGCCTGTTTTAGGCATGAATGACTGCTACATATTCAAAATTAGTATCCAAACTGTAATATATCTGTAATTATTTATTAAAATAGTAATATTTTAATTTTTTTTGCCGGTATATACCTGCTTTGAAAAAAAGAAAAGAAAAACAGTAAGTTACATTAAAAAATAATACTAGTTTAGATTTGCATCCATCCATCTCTCTCTCTCTCTCTCTCTCTATATATATATATATATATATATATATATATATATATATATATATATATATATAACATGGGTTAGGATCATTTTACACCAGTGTAAGTTACACTCTCAATCTTGTCCACTGATCTCACTTATATCTAAGGGCTCAAATTTTTTAGTAACATGAGCCATTGGATATAAGTGGATCAATGGTCAAGATTGAGTGTAAGACTTGTAACTCTTACACCGGTGTAAGAATATCTTGCCCCATATAACATTTACAATTTGAACTCCGACGTTCTATTTTTATATTTAATTACAAATGAGAATTTCTATGCAACTCGTTCCAAGGTTTTGGTACACCTTGCCATTACTGTCCATTTAGATAATCATTGTTGAATGAACTTGGATACATTAATTCAATAATATATGCTGAAGTATCAAACGTTAGGAATGACATAAAAACTTCCTCTGCAAAAAATAAATAAGATAATTGTTTGATCAAATTAGCCAGAGTAAATATTTTTATAGTCACACATCTTTTACAAATTTGCATTCAAAATTCAAAATGTGAAAAATAAACAAAATAACTAAATAATCAAGATCTGAAACAGATGAATCCATCATTGCCTAATTCAATGGAAATCTATGGAGTTTTGAATAATGAAATCCAATGCCACGTGTTAAGTCAATTATAAGCGTCATATGGGATTGGATGGATGGATGGATCCAGCAGTTATCACTAATCACACAGTTTACAACTCAGAAACAAACCAAATGACACATACATAGAATAGTATATAATCCAGAAGAAACGAACTCATTTCGTTTATCTATGCTAGTTTAGGTGTTGGCACAAGAATTGGTATTTCCACATCCATTTAGATTCACTATTCTTCAGTGCTCCGGATAGCCTGGCATTATCTTAGGTGACTGCACTAATCGAACATTTGGAGGCCCAGATGAAGGCGGAGCTGAAAACGGCCTCATAACAGAGCTTGCGCTTGAAGCAGGAGGACTGCAAAGTTGGCTTGATTTTAGAGAATTAGCACTAGCAGCACCATTTGTGTCCTCCGCCATGTGTTCAGGATGTTGGTGGTTATGCTGCAATCCATCAATATCCATTCCTTGTAAAACAACCTGATGGTTGTGCGTCCCACTGGGAAGCTGGGATTGCCAAAAAGTTGACTGTTGATTCATTGTGGAATGGCTTGCACCAGCATTGCTTTTACCTTCAGCCTCATCCTTTCCTCTGGGATGATGGACCATGACTGAGACCTCGTTTGGTTTGCTTGGTTTAATTTCTGGCAATTTTTCCGAGTCCAAAGAAATAATCTCTATAGCATCAACCTTAGCTGTTGAGGAACGACTAGAAGCAATTATAGTCGTGGGAAATGCCCTCTCTGGAGGGACAGCAGGGGTGTAATTAGAGGGAAGCAAATCATCCCAATTCTCCAAAAGTTCCTTGTACACTTTACGGAGAGTGACTTCAGTAAGGCCAGTTACCTTGCAAATTTCTGCCTGGGTTTTGCGTTTGTCTTCAAGTTGGCAAGCCAAATATATAGCAGCGGCTGAGATACTAATTGGATTCCTGCGAGTGCAGAAGCATTTGTTGATCACAACCTCTCCTATGTGAGTAGCCAGTTCCTAAAATACAATGTAGGAGCTACTCTCAGAATTTGGTAATATAAGGAACAGAATAAAAGGCAACTAACAAGAGTGATTTATTTATTTTTGTTGTGTATGTGTGTGTGTGTGTGTGTGTGTGTTGGGGGGTGGGGGGGTGGTTGTATATTACAAAATTCACTGCCACAGCTTGATACTAAGACATCTGAGTCTAACTGAATGTCCACCCATGTAATAAGTAGGTAATCTTCTCACCAATGCCAAAATTTTATTCTGCCTTGTGGACATATAAGTCTACATTCTGTCCATGACACAAGGCCTGTTGGTTGACAAAAGTACAAAAACTGTAACACAAAATTTAGAACCTTTGTTATGCACCAAGGGCTTTGGACAGACAAGCATTTCTAAAAGTGGCTAGGGAAGATGCTAAGCACATATTCATTGGTATCAATTAGCAATTGCTAACTTCCATTAGTAAAAGATTGGATTGGTATCAATTAGTCCCAATTAATATCAATTAACATTTGTTAGATTCCATTAATAAAATATTGGTATCAATTAGTCCAAATCAGTATCGATCACCTTGTTAGTATTTCAAATCCCTGTAATATGCTTTTATAAAACCTGTGATGGCTGTATGGAATGACCAATCAATTAACTTATTCCAATCATTCTCTCTCTCCCCCTTCTTCTCTATCTTTTCTCTCAGGAACTCAATCATTCAACAATTACCCTTAAAAACCATGCAAATGTAGGAGCAGATATGTCAGGTGAGAGCCGTCTCAGATCCCCCCCACACCTTAGTCCAAATACGTAACTAACTGTGTCATGGCATAAATGCATAATCAAAAGCTTTTGTTTGCAGACTCATTGCAATCAAATTTTTTTTTACAAGCAATGAGGATGAAGATGTCAAATTTTAAAGCAATACTAGGTACCTGAGCAGATTTATTGAGCTGAAGAAGTGTGCAAAATCTTGGCATATGAACTGCTATAGAATTGCTGTTAATAGGCTGACTTAGCTGTAAAGCTTCTCCCAGTATCTTGATGTATTTCCCAATTTCCTTTTGTGGCACATTAGCTGCAATTGAAATTTCCTGTCGTATCACAAGAGATGAAATTTTATACTATTAGAGACGTCCAAAATCTAAATTCTAAACTAAAGAGAACGGCTACCCCCACTCAAGAAGCAAGTGCAACGTGTAATTTTTTTTACAAACTAAGCATGGACTCAGTTTCAGGTTTTCTGCTATCCAAGCAAGTTTAGGCAATACAGTAGTATATTCGGTTCCTACTAAAAAACACAGAAACTTTAGCCTTATATAGACTGCGAATAACTAGGAGATGATTCAATGACAAACTCAAACACTGCTTGTTTGGAAGAGATGATTCTTCACAAATCCCTAAAAATGACCATTGCTTTTAATTGAAGAAAGTGCACAAATTTATTTAGAAGGCAACGATTGAAATCATTCTACCAAACACAACCAATTAAGTCTCAATAAAAGGAAAGTCCAAAAAAAGAGCAGAAACGTTATGACCTGAAGGGTTCTAGGCTCTTGAGCTTCTCTAATGGCCTGAACAAGAGCGGCAGTGGCAAGCGCCTCCACACTTCGGTTTCTCAAACAGGTAGCGGAGCAACAATCCCTGAATAATTGAAAAGCATGGTCGGAAATATCACAGTCTAACTCTAGTATTGACGCTACATCGATAATTTGCATGTAAGCCCGCAAGTTATCAACTACGACCGTCGATGAAGATGACGATGACGAAGAAGAAGAGGATTCGAGAGTGCGCTCGAGCTCGGCGAGGTGGCCGGAGAAGGAGAGAGAGGACTGCAGGTAAAGTGGGCTGGGCTCGAGGGACCAAGTGGAGAAGGCGGTGATGAAGCCCGTGGGCTCGAAAGGGTCGTCGTCGTTCTGATGGAGGTTGGGGAGAGGGAGATCCGATGTGACCAGACACAGAGGGTTGTCTTGGGCGCGCATGTGGAACACGTGATGGGGATGGGACTGTCGCTCTTCCACCACGCGCCCGCAAGACGTGCACTCCGTGATGGACCGCCCGCTGCTCGTGGTGGCGCAACGCCCCTGCGCCGCCGAGCAGTACGGGCACTTCATTTTTTTCTTTTACTTCTTGTATATGGCTTTTTGGTACCTTAATTATGTCTATTTAGTCAATGAAGCCCATGGGCCTCATATCACTCATTCATAAAATTTCCTATTAAAGCGTAAAGCTGTAGAAGCTTTTACTCGAGGGGGTGCTCTTGGCCCGGTGAATATTGCCTATTCCGGTGTTTATCAGTGGTGGTATACAATCGGTTTACGTACTAATGGAGATCCGAGAATTTTGTTTTCGTGTGTAAAATAAAAAAGTAATCCAAGCATGTCCGTAGATTGAATCATATTCCAATACGATAATATGCATGTTCCATATTATACATTGTTAGATTGGTCATGTTAAAATGATAATCTCTCTACATTAATTAATAGAATTTTTAGCATTGTATGACTGAAGAAGGGGCAAAAAAATTTATAAGCTGGCAGCACGCGGACTTGCTGTAATCAAGAAAGAAATGTACTCATAGAAACACGGGACATTTAGAACTTAGTTGCCATGAAATAAACCTCAAAAAAATATACTCAGTTGAATTTGTAAACCCAAAAGGTCGTAGTTCAATTTACTACTCTTCACTTTGTGAAGACTTGGAATTTGACTGCAAAATTTGAAAGAACCACAACCTAGTAAATTACATAATTAGCCGTCTTATGGAAGCATGAAAATCCGAGTATGGCTTCGCCCATCACTGCCTCTTCACAATCTTCTGGTAGTCCAGGAGCATTTTCAAGTACAAGCCAGACCCTTGAATGCTCCACACACTAACATTTTAAGCACGCCTAAAGGCTGTTGCTTCTTTTCCTTTCTTAACTTGCTCGAGGCTCGCTCTCAATTCTCGGGTTCTCTGAAATGGTAAACAGTGAAGACATAAGGCCAGAATATATGCACCAGTATGATCATATTTGAATTTGAGACTGGAGCTAAATATTTCCCGGACAATATTTGTTAACAAATAAAAATTGCCAATCATGTATATACCTATGTAAGAAACAAGCTCCGACATCTATAAAAACAAGCTCTAATCTAACACAACTTTTTTTGTTTTCAGAAGGAAAATATGTTAAACCATACAAATCCTTAACAACCATAGTCAATTAACTAAGACAGGAAGTATCAATTAATTCACATCAAGATATCAGCATAATTAAGCAAGCTACCCTACATTCAAATTATAATTCCTTCTCTGCTTTTAGCAAATGCTTCTACTACCCTTGAGAGTCACATGATGATCATATAACCTAAATTTAACTACCGATTGCAGAAAATTGAAATACAAATAAAAGCAAAGGGAAGGCCGATGAAGTAAATTAGCAACACAAGAAAGTCAATCTCAGAAACTATCAATATCCTTTTTATTTTTTGTTAAGGAGCCTGTCCTCCTAACCACACTATTTCCGTGTCATCTTAATTGAATCCCCCAATTCAACAATCTACCTGACAGAAACTTCTTTCAACTATATACAAAGGTAGAGACAAGACTAACAAATCCACCACTTATCGACTTTAGGAAAAAGGGGAAAGCTTGACTACACTTTTGTTCCCTCTAATAAGTTCAATTTTGAACCCCTAGTTCCTACTGGGGAAAAAATGTATACATTGATATACATTCCTTGAATTTTAGGGTGATTGTGAGTAGGCATATTCATGAACTTTAAAATTTGCCAATTAAACTCTCCATTTAATCATATTGCAACAAGCCCTTTCAACCAAATCTAACTATTTCTGTTAATCAATGAAAATCTGTCACCAGCCATCTCATTAATCAAATTCATACAAATTGGGTCCCTCTATATTTGCTGCTGACACAGCCCTCTCATTGCTAGCATGGAATTGTACCATGCCATCTCCACATCAGCAAAGATAGGGGCAAGTAAGAAAAAAGCAAGCTGAATCAGCCACTTTGACATGGAACCACCATTGTAATACAGAGGCCACAAAACACATGAACAAGACTAATACTTTGCATCAACTCCAAAACAAGGATTGATGATCCTTAAATTGGAACCATGGGGCCAAAATTGAACTTTGTCAAACAAGAGGAACCAGGTTGTAATTAAACCAAAATGGAAAAACCCATAAGCTTACCTTGCTAATTGGGTAAAAAATGCTGCCAAAACATCTAATTCAACAAAGACTCATCCCAATTCATCATGAAGGGCTATTCAACAAATTCTACAGATGTAAGGAAACTGTTCTCCCATAATATCTTAAAAGAGATGTGGATGAATAAGGAGAGAATACTATTGTCATTTTCATGAAGAAACGAGAAGGAACTACCTCGCAGCATTAAAAAACAAGAGCACACATGCAATTAATTAAATGTATTTTCACCACCTGAGCAAGTCACACAAAGCGCAGGCTTTTATGGTAGACATTTTTCAAGCTTAGTTGTATTTGTCTTATCTGTGAAGAAAAGAGAAAATAAAGCTTGGAATACTAGATAATGTGAAATTGGTATTGATTTGATGTGTTATGATGTGATACAAACTACAAAGTATTCTTTTCTATTTATATAAATGTTAGACTCTAAATCCTAATTAAATAAAGAAATAAATCATAAAACATAAAGAAATAAGGAAACAATTCCAAGGGATGAAATAAGATAGCAAGATACTATAAACTATTCTAAGGTACAATAAAGGTATTATAAGATAGGGATCATATGGCGGGACGGTGGTGTGTGGCTAAGACATGCCAATAGGAAAATGCGTGAGACGTTTTTTTGCAGTGGAATAACACTGATAAAGTAAGTTGCCATCATCTTGTGACTTAAACCAACTTCAAACAGATAACACCAAATTATGCAAACAGTAACGCTATTTGGTACAGAAATTTTTGTCGAAAAACTTACAAATTGATAACTGACCAATCGCGTTAAGCATGACCATGCATGGTGATAGAAGACAGAAGACATTTTCCAATATATCCCTAAGAGGTGGATTCATATAACTTTCTTTTCAAACTGTTCAGCAATTCGCTTATGCATAATAAACCATGCACACAATTGCAATAGATTTCCTTCCAATAAAATGCTTTACATAATCCCCAATCAATTTCCAAATAAAGTAATCCCATGCGCATCAAAGCTAATGAAACACTTGCGAAAGGGACAATATTCCAAACTAGGTCATTAGGTTTGATCAGCAACATAAACTTCGAACAAAATAGTATCCCAATGCAATATGTATTATATATTGAAAGATTGAACCGGTTTTCCTCTCATTAAGCAACAGAGATCGAAGAAGAAAGACGAACCGTAGATTGGATGGGAGGTGGATCAAAATCAATGGAGCGCACAGACATCTTGGCGATCTCGGTGATGGCAGCGTCTCTGACACCAGGTGCATCACTGGTCAATTCTTCATAGGCAGCCTCGAAGGCCTCTTGCCAAAACCTAGGCAACCTGATCCTGCGGCTATTGGTGTACACATCCCACATGTGCCTCACCACCTTCTCCCTCTCCTCCATTTCCTGCACACAATAAAACGCATCAAAACGACAATCGCAAGACAGAGAGAGAGAGAGAGAGAGAGAGAGAGAGAGAGAGAGACTTACGAGGACATCGAGATCGTCGTGGATGGGAGTGTCGATGTCATTGGATAAAGAGTTAAGAGTGCCGGACCAGCGAAGAGAGACGGTGCCGGTGAACATGGACCAAAACGCCAGAAGCAAGATTGCGGCTAATGCCCAGAATTTATACCTACCTTTCCCAAACAGACCCGAATCCCATGTTTCCTTTTTCGTATTTGCTGTCGTCGTTGGAAGACCATCATCATCCTTCATTTCTTGTTGGATCTAACGGCTGGTGGGACACACAATCTCCAATCGAATTCAGGTAATGATTTTGATTTCAATCAACACGGTCACTTTTTTGTTTTTTGTTTTTCCTTTCTATTTCCGTTGTGGCTGCTGCAGCACCGGCTTCATCACTTTCGGACTCCGATTTGCGAAAGGGAAATTGAGTCCGATCTGTGTTACTCAGATGCACTGCAATGTGCAATGGAATAACAAAATTTACGGATTTGGTTTTTGTATTGGGTTATTAGGTTATTTGTTAAATTTCAACAGTTCTATAACAACAAAAAAATGGGTCAATGTACATCGTGTGGGCCACCACTTTTTATTACTTTTGTTTTGGTTGACTTTGGTCTAATATTATGCGGGTTACCATTTGGTGGCAAGTGGCAACCGACACCAAACGGCAGCGTTTCGTTTCATACATTCTGATTATTTCATTCTCATTTTCTCTTCCTCTTCACTGGGCTCCTTAATCTTGAGGGTGTTTGGTTTAGGTGAAATAATTTTTTACTAAGAAAATGTGATTATTAGGGATCTGCAAAGAAAGTGAGTTAGATAAAAAAATTTTAAAAAAGTTGTTTGGTTGAGTAAAATTTGACCAGAAAAATTAAGTGAAATTCCTGAAGAGTATGTTTGGTTGAATATAAAATATTGATGGGTACTAATTGAAATTACGAAACTATTCTTTTAAAAATAACCCTTTATACCAACAATTGTCCAAACGGAAATAATGAGGGATAATACAGTCACCGATTTATATCACTTTTGCAACTTCTCCAGATTTTAGACAAAATACCACATTCCACGAAGCAATCGTCAACAGTGATTTTCAGACAAATCACATGCAATTAAAGATAGATAGGCAACAGCGAAAGATGGGTAAAATTCATGAAAAAGGTGAACCAAACGTGAAATAATGACAATGCAGGCATCACTTCCCCGAAAAACTTTAACAAAATCCTGAAACAAACACCCCCTAGTAGATTCTCAAACTAAATTGAGAGAATGTGTCATGTTTTTTTATAACTATAACCTACAAGTTCAATATAACCATGATAGTCATAAGTTCATAATATTAAAAATAAATTTTTAATAAAAATTGACATAATATTTAAAAATAACGTTATCATACCTAACTTTTTTTAATAAAAAAAAAGTTTGGTGTTTGTCATTTTAAATGACATAAAGTTATGTCATTTTAAGAAAGAGATAGACACAAAATATTATTTTTTATTTAAAATTTAAATTAAAAAAAAAAAATCACTCACTCTCTCTTCCATGATTTTCATTTCTTGTGTCTATCTATCTTCTAAAATGACATAACTTATGTCATTTAAAATGACAAACACTTCTCTCTAAAAAAAATCCTATATAGACCAACTTTTAATTTTTCTTAACAAAAGTTTCAAGTTTTGAACGGATTTTCCGCATATTTTTTGAATAAAAGTTTTTTTTAGTCATGCGGACTCAAGATCTAATTAGTTCATTAATTTTTCATTTAAATTGATTGATACAATGTAGTTTTTAAAATAATGGTTAATTGTATTGGGGATAGGATATTTTACCTACTCTTATTTTGTCTACTCTTGCCTACCCCTTTCAATACCGTTACATTACAATCTCATCCGACGGTAGACATTTACGAAATAAAATAAACCATTTTTTCTCATTCTTTCTCTTCACCTCCTGCTGCATCCTTTCTCTCTCCTTCCCATTTTCTCTTCCTGGCGACAAAGATCAAAAATTTCGATAACGCAAAAATCAATTTCTCCAAAAAGAAAAACACATATTCAATAAAAAAAGAAACGAAAAAACAGAACACGATCGAACGTGCTTATTCCTTAGGGTTCATAGGAAGTCGTCGCTTCCGATAAGACGATGGAGTGCTAATTATACCTTTGGCTTTCTATTCTTACTTAATTCCTATAAGACGATGGCCTGATTGAAAGAAAAACTGAATAAAAAGAGAGAGAAAGAGTTCATATATTCTAATTATTCTATTCGATTCCATCCAATCAAACGACCAATAAAGTTAATAATTTCAAGCAACCTTCTTGAGTACCACTTGCAATTTGGTCACATTTCTCTATGCATTTAATCTAACGATAATTAAAAAACACTACATATAGATAAGTTTATTAAATTCAGAAATTCTGGGATAGGTTATTCTGCCTACTCTCATTTTACCTATCTTTGCCTACCCCTTTCATTACTATTCGATTACAATCTAATCCAACTGTCCATATTTGTGAAATAAAAAAAAAACTCTTTTTTTCTCTTTTTTTCTTCTCATTCCCTCTCACACCCTTTCTCTCTTCTCCCTTTTCTCTCTTCCTCTATGCCATACCGGAGACATTTTTTTTTCCTTCATTCTTTTCCACCAACCCGAGGAACCCAATACTTACATGTGGAACACCATGATCAGAGGCTATCGTAAAGCCCAATTTTAATTGAACGGAAAGTTGTCTCATATATATTTAGCTTCATGTATATAAATATATATAAACTAAACATAAACCTAATTTTTATACCAGCGATTAATGTTTAGTTTATATATGGATTGTTCGATTAATGTATAGCTTCATGTATATATATTTAGCTTCATGTAATTATTTCTCATACATAATGATCCAACACCGATTATTATACCAGCGATGAAGGAAAAAAAATGTCTCCTTAATGACATAGAGGAAGAGAGAGAAAGGAGAGTAGAGAGAAAGGATGTGGGAGAAAGTGATGAGAAAAGGGAAAAAAAGAGTTTATTTTATTTCGTAAACATGGACTGTTGGATTAGATCGTAATCGAACGGTAATGAAATGAGCAGACAAAGTTAGACAAAATGGGAGTAGGAATAGATTAGAATGTATTTATTTTAGCCTAAGTAAAGTAATTACTTTTCATGATAGAATAATCATAACAAAGAATTTATTGGTTATTATGTTAGGAAAAGATGTTACTTTATTAAGATTTGTGCTACTTCATTTATTTTTCTAATGAAATAGTCACTTCACAATATAATAATCACATACATTTGCTATATTTTTTCTATTATAATGGATGATTATTTGAAGAGTAATTAAAAAAAACACCATAAAAAAATTTACAATATAATATATCAATATATGGTCCGCTTATAATTTTAATATTTATAGTTGGAGGTAAATTATACTTGTTATTTTTTTCTTACAATTCCTTACAAATACTTTATTATTAGTAGATCAAAATTAAATTAACAAATTTTATTCGATATTATTTTGTAACTGTTAATTTAGATTCAATAATAAGAAAACTGATTATAAAATGTTATAAGTATACCCTCCTCTTATAGTTGTGTGGTTGATAAAGTTATTAAAAATGCATATAGACTAAATATCATTTTGGATAATCGATGTTTGAGACATTTATTGTATTAAAAAAAGGGAGATTCTTCCAACCAAAAATGCATATAATGTATTACAGAATATTTACAACTAACGTAGATCTAGCACGACTGAAATATACAATTTTTTTTTTTTAACTAAGTGAACTAAAACTGTGGAACAAATGCTGTTTGTTTTACAAAATTTGCAAATGCTTGGAAATGTATTGAGTATTTGCATATTTCTAAATCAGTACTTCCACAATCTTCTGTGGAATCAACATTAATTTCTTGTCAATTACATAATATATATGATGCTTATTATTATTATTATTTTGGATAAAAATATATATGCTTATTCTATTCCAAACTATTTTGTGTCTTTCCTAAGTTTGAGGGAGGCAAAAAGCTTTCAGCAGTCAAACCCCATATATTAAAATCAACTTCTTCGATCTTCCACCTCTCTTCGAGTTCTCTTTTGTGGTTAGCCGATTGCTCACCATATCTGGAAACTGTGACTCGAGTGCTGCCACTATGTGACACATTTATCCCATCCACGTACTTATAATCCTCAATTACTGACTCTAGACTTGTTTCCCAGAAAATGTCATCATCATCTTTGGTTCTCATTGTAAGTAATCTAGAGTCTTCGAATTGAACTAAGAGACCAGATCTCTGGCTGAAATAGCCCCATATAGTGTGGTGAATGATCTCAAAGTTTGAACCGCTTTGTGCCTCACGAATTGCTGGGCTTGTTTCCAACTTCAGTATGAAGCATTCCTCATCATTGATTATTTTCTCTCCTATGCATGCGGCATCCGAAAATAAATTAGCTGTGGCCCTCGGATCCAATCCCTGACATATTAAAATCATTTGATTACATTTATCCATAAACAATTTTTTTTCCTCCAAAATCTGCTATCATCTACACATCAATTGAAAACGACAACATGTTCAATCCAAAAGTTTAAGCTCTAAATAAAGATTACTTAGCTTTTGAACTTAAAGCCTGAATATTATACTAGAAAGTGGAGACAGTATTCGTGTTCATGAAAACCCTCGTGAGAATAATTTTAACTCAAAAACTTAACTTAGAAAATCGTAAATGAATTTTATATCGAAAAAGTGCATCTCATAGAATTGTGTCATTTTAAGTTAGAGAAAGATATAGATCATGTGAGAGAGAGTGGACAAAATAAAAATAAAGGTATGACTCACACTTCTTTATGAGAGTAAAATGACACAAGTTATATGATTTAAAAGACAAACACTTTTCCCATTTTATATTTCACCGAGATTCTCTGAAATCCCATTTTATATTTCATCGAGATTCTCTGAAATGGTAGTCTTCGGAGATTGGGCCTTCTGCATGGGCCGACATTGTCAACCCCCATCCAACAGACACGTGTTATACAGTAACGATAAACAATGCAGACAATTTTTTGAAACTACATGTACATATTTTCATTTATATGTATCTGTAATGTAACTCATTCTTACTCAGTTGTGTTCAAAATATTCATTTATGTCCACCAAGTTTGTCTATTTTTCATGAAGGCAAATGAGGTTGTAAGAAAAATGCGTGTAAGCAATCACAATTTAAGAAAATACATGTATGAAACGACAATTTTAGTTTCAGTTTCACATTTACACTCTAGGATGGAAATTCTTATTAAAAAAGTATATATGAGGGAGCAAACAACGTACAGTAAATATCATTTTCGGTCCTCAGCAAATTTTCGATGACCGCTTTAGTCCCTAGTAAATAAAAAAGTTATTCGTGGTCCCTAAGAAATTCAAAGTGGACCCATTTTAATTCTTTTGAGGAATTAATATGGTCTTTTTTGAATTTGTGAGGGACCACGATTTCAACTAAATAAGTCTATTTTGAATTTCTTAGGACCACGAATAGTTTTTTATTTGCTAGGGATTAAAGCGGACATCGTGAAATTTGATGAAGACCAATAAAGATATTTACTCTAATTCTTTTTGTTTTTTCATCTGAAAAATTCTTAATTGTATTCTTAGCTCAAAAGAAATTCTATTACGTACTAGTATCAACCTCCAAAGAATAGCATACATGTATAGTATATTATATCAGTAAATTTACTCAATTACCATCATTAGTGTTGACAAACTAGACAAGACTCTTATTGTTAAGTATGTAAAGAATCTTGTGATACACCACCCCAAAAGCTAGCTCAAGGGGTGGGAGTGCCAAAGGCCCTATAAAGGTAGTTACCCATCCAATCAATGTGGGTCAACACGCCCCCTCACGCAAGAGCCCTTTAGGCTAGAAACGTGGAAATTGCACAGGCCCATTTTTGGTTTACCTTTTTGTGCTTTTTTTTTTTTAATTCCACTCTTTAAAGCCGGGGACGGTGAGACTCTGATACCATGTTAAGTATGTAAAGAACATTGGGATACACCACCCCAAAAGCTAGCTCAAGGGGTAGGAGTGCCCAAGGCCTTATAAAGATAATTGCTCATCCAATCAACGTGGGACTATATATCTAAACAGTTATCATTATTATATATGAACTCCAATTAAAATTAGTCATTTACGAAGAACTGGTATTAATATACATACCTGAAGGAAACGACGAAGAGGTCTTGGAGCACCTCTTGAAATGGGGGTTTGTTGGTTAGAGGAATGACGCCATGAGATCTTGCCATTGCTACCGCAACAAACCTTGCAACCGGACACAAGCAGCTCTAAACACCACAAATCTGGATCCTTTTGCCATAAAACGAACCCTCCAATCTCTTCAGAGGTTTTCTTCACTTCAATGCTTTCACTGGTTTGGTGAAAATCTGACGCACTAATCTTGATCTGCCCCATTACACACATACTATCCACTGCATTCAAAGCTGGTTGTCCTCCTGTTGCCGCTATATATTGTTGCACTATATATTTGGCCGTTGATGCTTCCTACAAACACAATCAATCATACCTATAAATTTCTTACCTTGAAAACAAGATGAAAAATAATTTATAAAAGAAAAACGTTACTTTCTTACAATAGAACAATCTCTGACTGGACGGTGGACGGAATGGCCTAATTGAACCTGAAGAGGGATAAGAGGAGATCCAACAAGGTAAAGCAGAAATCGAAGCTCATTCAAGCGTGCTGCAACTGTAGGGGATGATAATTTGTCCTCGGTTTGACCCTTCATCCATGTTAACATGTTCTGCCACCGCAATGTCACGTTGGTTCCCATGGCTGCGAACATTTCTTCGGGTATAGGTATTTCAAGAACAGTCTCCAATCCATCTTCTTTATTAATGTTCGGACAAAGCCTCCTCAGGAATGACTTTGCAGCTGCCTGTTTCATCAGTGTTTGTGTGATTCTCTGTTGTTCTGTTTATGTTTTATTTCTGTGTGTCAGAGAGAGATAGAGAGAGAGAGAGAGAGACAAGGTACGAGGAAGAAGTTGATTGAAGAGATGAGACGACTAAAGAAAGAGAGAAAAAAAAGGAAGAGGGTCATAGTCAAAAGGCTAAACACTTTTGTATGTTCCTTCAATCGTTTCTATCTGTGGAGGGGAAACATGGAGCTATCTGGGGAAAACCAAAATGAGAGGGTGCGGGTACGTGTTCATTTGCCTAAGGCTCTCCTTGCTTGTAGGTGTTGTGTGGGCACAAATTATAGTTCATTTGATTCTTCTTGTTTAAGTTTCTATTTAAAGATTTAATCCGTAATTTTTGAAAATTTTGTTTTATGATGAGATACGGTCATTCAGTCATGGATCTCATCTCTGCTATGCTATGACCAGAGCTTGTATCTATCTATTATTCCCTTTACTATCTTTCCAAGACTAAATGTCTGTTTGACGTATAAGAAAAATGTATAAAATAGACAATATTGAGCATTATACCTAACGACAATCAGCATCATTAATAACAACAGAACTAATACAAATGATAATTTTATATTTGTTGTACGTACAAAAAAAGCTTAACACTGTTAACATATTGGCGAAGTGATCGGTATTTTCTCAAGCACATAGCAAACATCAAATTTGCACTGTGTCCTTGTAGTGGGCATATGTTATGTACAAAACAATGTCAGGATACACAAAAGAAGGTGCAAACGCGTAGCATCATGCAGCATAGAGTAGTACCAAACATTGAATTTGGGAGTCGTTATTAACCAATTAAAGATTCTTTAAATTCATCATTTTCTGACATTGAATATACGGTCGTGCTTCCGCTAGTACATGTGACACATAAAATTTTTTGTGTAACAGATTATATTTATAAATTTTTTATTCATAATTTTTTATATAATATATATGTATATAATATAATTTATAAAAATGTATAAATATAATCCAGATTTATAATTACATATTAAATATAATTAAAAAAATTTGTGTAACAGATTATATTTATTTATTTTATCCTTTTCAAATGGCTGGGTGCTTGTCTTTGTAAACTTCAGGTTTCCATAAAGAGCTTCACAGGGTTTGATGTCACCAGTCACCATAAAGGCCAAGCTGTGTTTCCAGCAAGCGTGTCAGGAAGCAGCCAACAACTAGACGAAACTATTCCCCAATTTTGGGCAATCACTGACTTCAATTTTCCAATCGGTATTTCTATTCTATTTAATCCTTCCCCCTCTCTCTTTGTACCTCACATCACTTCATCTTAGTTACTTTACTCGATTATTTGGGCAAAACTCAGCAGAGAAACATGAACCAACCAAGGTAGAAGAAGCTCCACATAAGGACATTCCCCACTTTTCGGCTAATTCTTCCTCTAGTAAGTGTTCTCTGCCACCATGCCTCACTTGAATCTGCAATTAGCACTCTAATCATAATCACCTATTTTATAATGTTGAATTCCATAGGAGAAAAAAAGAAGACAAAGGTTTTAAGGATCATTTTGAGCCTGAGAATGATGGTTCTATAACTATGAGGGGCACAAAACCGTCGTACAAGCTGTCAGGTATAATTGCATTACTGGATTTGGAGTTTCATTATAAGAACCAAAAATCTAAAGTATATTCTCATTCTCTGTTTGTCTAGGTGTTTACTGGCAATCAAACAGGAGGTGGATTGAATTATTGTGTCTTTTAATTTTCATGTGTACATCAGATTGCAAGCTAGGTCCACTTTTAGTTTTTCTGTAATTTTTAATTGGAGGTGTTTAATCAGTAGATTTATCAGTATTAATTAGTCATTACCGAATAGCCTTTTGTTTTTTGCAGAAGTTGCAAATGATTGCAATATCAAAATATGTATTTGCCCACTTGTAATGTTTTATCTTGCTGCTTCAGTATCTGACTACTACTATGTTCCTCGGAAGGACGTGGTATAATTATCATATGTTAGTTCTTCATTCCTTGAAAGTGTTAATGTCATATTGACTTTAATCTTGGTTTAAATGATTTTGTAATTGGTTGAGGAACAAGAGATTTATCATTTGCGAAGAATTTTGCATTTTTGCTTGCATCTAAGAGAAAAATTTGGGTTAGAGTTAGACATTAATTATTTAGAGAATTTTCCCATAGCTTCATGTGTAAACATAGGGAATGTTGCATAACTTTACCACTCCCGTTGCTTTAGATTGATAAGTACAGCAGAGATGTCAAGATGGATGGACATACATTTATGGAAAAATTCAAAGAAAGAATGATGAATTCTCACAAGCAGCTATAATGGTATTGAATCTTTTTGATGATGTCTGTAAACTTAAGTTCTTTTTTTCCATGTTGTTGCTGATTTCTATTAATAATTTTTTTCGCTTATTTACAACTTATGAAAACTCATACTGTTTTTGAATTATGATGAAAACTCATACTGTTTTTGAATTATGATGAAAACTCATACTGTTTTTGAATTATGGTAAGGAGAGCAATTAATCAGTCTTGAGGCAATTACTTGACATTAATGTTATAAAAATTGAATCGATCCGGCCGTGTCGGCGAGGAAACCGGCTAGAAAACTCATATTGTCATCAACGCAGCCATTGTCGCCACAACCACCACCACTATCATCAACATGTGATTGCCACTAGGGGTGAAATTTGGCTGGGTTGGGCCAAGCTTTGCCCCGAAAAGCCCAAGTCTACGTCAAAAAAATTCAATTTGGCCTGGCCTAATCTTAGTATGAGTCTAACTGTTAGCCTGGTTTGACCCGTTTATAAAAAAACAAATGGCCTAGCTTGGCCCGTTAGCCTGTTAATTTTTAACTTCCAAGCAGAACCATGAATCAACTTTACAAAGTACTCAAATTCAGTTGCTACACCAAAAATCATAATTTCAACGTTCAAACAGAATCATGAATCATAACAAAACTCATACAATATGCACTTAAGTCATTTTCTAAAGCAAAATGCTCAAACTAAATAACATATATTTCTTCAGATCCAATAAACAAATCTATACTATGTAAATCAAAATAACTACATGAATCCAACAAACAAATCATGATGCTTGTAGTAAGTATAACTCTTCCAAAAATCTTTTAATATATTCATATATACAATCTAACATGTTGAGATGTTGGTTCCTCCTATATAAGAAATAAAATAAGACTTCTATTAAAATATAATCGAATATAATTAAGTTATAAATAATTGCAATTGATTAAATTTATATCTTTTGTTTTTTCTTCAAGACATACTTACTCTATTTTATTTTATTTAAAATAAATAGTACAATATAGGTTGGCCTGTTGGCTTATAGGCCTAGCCTTTTGAAAGTGGGCCTACGACCTTTTTATTAAACAGGCTTTTTTAAGGCCCAAGTCCGGCCTATTATACAAAATATACTAGGTCAGATCTGGCCTGATGTAGGCCGAGCCACCACCACCACCGTACCGCCATGGCCCCCCTGACGCCGCTGTCACAACCACACCATATGAAAATGATGATCCAATTTTTTTTATATTTAATATAAATTATTTTTTATTATATTATTTGTTGTGTTATCAAACACAATTATAATTCTCGGAATAAAAATAGAACATGTTATTAAACACTTTTTTTCTCAGAAACTGTTCCAAGGCATAGAAATAGAAAAGAATTGTTTCTTTTCAGAAACAGTGCTAGGGAATATAATGGTTGTCATGCACACCCTATGTACCTACAATACTAATATTATATTGGTTATGCAATATGCAAGGAATTTTGATTTCATTTATAGTTAAAGATGTTGTTTATTGAACCTGAAACACTAGTATCACAAATATTATATATTCAATTGATCTTTTGTTGGACAATTATGTGTAATTAATTATTTTCATATTAAAATATTTGAAATTGGTATCATTTTTTTTATAGGTATTTAAGTATATTTATAGTTTTTTTAATATAAATTATAGATTTACATATATTTACCGGGTCATGCGATTGAATCAGTGACCTACTGATTGAACAAATAACCTAATACCTCGACCGGGCCAATAACAGGGTCGGGTTTAATAATGTTGATTGTTGAGTACAGGATGACTTGGTGAAATCTTTCAGGAATTGTAACCTGCCACATGATTCTCTTGCATTGTAGCAAGAATGATTTTGGAGTATTATTTTGTTTAAGCTATCAGATTCATGAAGTTTATGTAGATCTCTGATTCTGGTTGCTTTTCAGTTCTTGAATATTTTTAGTTCTTATATATTTCAAATTTAATTTTTATCCTGTATCACTATGGTCAAATATATATAACTTTAATTTGGATTTATACTAGCTTTTCTGTGTTTATCTGTAATTTATTTCTCTAAAAACATCTGGAAGTCATGCACCATAACATTTATAAAGTTTTGAATTTTGTACGGACACAATTTGTTATTGGTAGAATCTAATGCACCTGAGTGACTGACTTGTATTGAGCTATTTTATAATTTATTCCATAGTAGGACTTTTAAGCAAATGTTAATTATTTTTCTTTTCGTTATTTTTAGATTATATTTGAGTGTGCGTTGATTGTGCATTATCTCTTTTGATTATAGTTATTTACTTTTTTGTTATTTTATTTCTCTTTTTGTTATTCAACTAAAATAAAATAACAAAAAAGTAAATAATTATAATCATGCACAATCAAAAAAGATAACACACACTCAAATATAATCTAAAAATAATAAAAAGAAAAATAATTAATAATTACTGAAAAATCTTAAACTATGAAATAAATTATAGAAAATCCAAATCGACTCACCCAGGAGAGTCAGAATGCCGGTAAAATTGGATGGTTCGAGAAGAAACAGTCAAAAGAACTTCTTACTATTGTTGACGAGGTTTGCTTAGATGTTATTTATTTATTTATTTTTTGTATACTATGTTGTAGGTTGTCATCTGCATGTTTCTGACAATCATTTTTCTTAATGTAGATGGGAAAGATCTTCCGTAGCCTGGGTAATGTAAATGCTGAAACTACTCCTTACCGTTCCACAATATAAACAATAATAGAGAGGTACCCAATCTCGTAACGTTTTACAACCTTTACAATCAATTTAATCACCATTGATTTCTGTTAATCTAACGGTTATAATTTATTTAGAATTAATAATTAATAAATAAGTACAATTCAACAATTTCTAATAAATTATAACCGTTAGATTAATGAAAATCAACGGTGATCAAATTAGTTGTAAGGATAGTAAATTTTAATATATATTTCCCAATTGCTTTATATGTCTTTATGTAACTTGTAACTATTACTTAAAAGGTAAGAATCAAAAATTAAAACAAAGCAAACGACCTATAAGAAATAATGCACTTGAAGAATATAGATGATGTCTCTATCTTTTATGCTATAGACATGGCTATAGCTGGTTTATGTGTCTGCAATAGGACTTTGATTGAAGCTGTATCTGCTCATAGTCATGTCTATAGGAACAGACACCCAGAGACTATCTATTACATATGACAAAGTATTTCCCTAGGTCAAGGGCAAACTGGTCCAGAAACTACTACTCATTGGTGCTGCATGCCTATACTGATTTATGGATGGTCGTCCATTGGGAACTAGTAGAAACTAAACAAAATAACATAATTGGGTTTTACTAATATTCTATTACATAAGACTGCATTCTTTTCCTGCACACTGAAAAATAACGTGGAGTCCATTTAATTTTTTTTTTCTTTCTTATTTTTGTGGGTTCCATTGCTGGTGTGTAAGTGTGACATAAGAGAAAAAATTTCCTACAAAAGGAGACTAATAAACCCCAACATAATTATATTCAATGGAAAAAATTCTGGCTTGGAAGAACTGGATCATCTACAGATCTAGACATTTGAAAAGTGACATTCTTATAATTGAATGGAACAACCTTTAAAGATTCGTAGGTGATTAATTTGTTGATGGCAGTCTTTCAAATATAATTATAAAATAGGGCTTTATTAATCTTATGTTGTAGGAGTGAAGTTCTCTCCTATCTTTGAGACAATCATGGGTGGGGTCTATTTATTTATAAAAAATAAAAAAATGAAAATTAAACTACACGGAAATTAATGAGTGTGTAAAAAAGAGTGTTATCTTATGTTGCATAAGAATAATATTTCCCTATAAAATATTAATTTCAGATAACTTATTTATATATAAAGTTCTCAACTCCAAGATTTTACATCAATTTCCTCCATATACATTCTCTTTCAGATCAGTTCCTGCAGCTACATTTCTACTGGAGTTTTTGCTGAAAACCATCTCCATCTCTTCCAAGGGCTTGCCCTTGGTTTCAGGCAGGAAAAAATAGAAGAACAGCCAAGCTAATATAGATATACCGGCAAACATGAAAAAGCTCCCACCTATGGTGATTGCTTTGTAGATTGAAATAAAACTCATGGAAACAGCAGCATTCATGACCCTATTCACCGCAACTGCTATACCTACTCCTTGTGCTCTCAACTTCAAAGGGAAAATCTCTGAGCTGTAGACCCACGTGACAGGTCCAAGCCCAATATTGAAAAAAGCAACAAAGGTGTAAGTAGCCACAATGCTAAGAGTCAAGGCCCAGATAAGCTTTTCCTGGGAATTTTCCTCCATGGTCAAGCTGAACCCTAATACCGTAAGGCCACAAACCATTCCTGCAGTGCTTATAAGCAAGAGGCGTCTTCTTCCAACTCTGTCAAGCAAAAATGTGGATATTATTAAACAAGTGACTTTTGTAAGGCCTA